GGGAAAGAATCAGCTAGCCAATAGTTCCCCCCTTGTTACTAATACAGAGGGGGGAAAGAATCAGCTAGACAATAGTTCCCCCCTGGTTACTAATACAGAGGGGGAAAGAATCAGCTAGCCAATAGTTCCCCCCTGGTTACTAATACAGAGGGGGGAAAGAATCAGCTAGACAATAGTTTCCCTTCTTGTTACTAATACAGAGGGGGGAAAGAATCAGCTAGACAATAGTTCCCCCTGGTTACTAATACAGAGAGGAGGGAAAGAATCAGCTAGCCAATAGTTCCCCCTGGTTACTTATACAGAGATGGGGGAAAGAATCAGCTAGACAATAGTTTCCCCTCTTGTTACTAATACGGAGGGGGGAAAGAATCAGCTAGACAATAGTTTTCCCCCTGGTTACTAATACAGAGAGGGGGGAAAGAATCAGCTAGACAATAGTTTCCCCCCTAGTTACTAATACAGAGAGGGTGGAAAGAATCAGCTAGCCAATAGTTTCCCCCCTAGTTACTAATACAGAGAGGGGGGAAGAATCAGCTAGACAATAGTTTCCCCCTAGTTACTAATACAGAGGGGGAAAGAATCATACAGACAATAGTTCCCCCTGGTTACTAGTCCGAATTATTCTGACGTTTATCAACTTTTTTCATATCGGTCTGTCAACGATTAACGTCAGAACTCCGTCACTCTATAATATGCGGGAAATATGCGACCCGCGCCCGGAGCGCACTTCAAACTCATATATTAGAAACACATCGTCACTTTCACACACATGTCGCACATTTAAAAGTTCAAATACTGAACACAGTTTTCTTCACTTTCACAGCTGATTATTTCTGTCCTCTTGTTAAATGCATGTTTCAAAATTCTGTTACATTATCAAGAAGTTCAAATGTTAATGAACACAGACAACTATTATCCTTATTTTTATATTAAATTATAATTCCTGCAGGAGCGCGGTGCTGTCCAGATCATCTCGTTGGAGATAAATTAACACCTGAAGCTATGCGAGTAGTTGAATGCAAAAATGATTGTGTTTTACTGAACAGATCTACACTGTTTGAACTCTTACATAAATTAAGAACATTTGCGATCCAGACAGAAAAATCAAGAATTGACTTTGACTCTGATGAAGCACTAACTGCATCAGATTTTATTAACTTAACTGGAATTACAAAAGCCAATTTTACAGATCTTTATACATATATAAAGGACTTGGTACGGAATACACCAGCTCGTTCAACAAAAACATCGCTGGGAATATATTTGTTTAAAATGAAGTCTGGGATATCAAACAAAGTGTTATCAACGGTTTTCAATATCACCAAGTCCAGTATCCGACGTGCTGTATCTTCCGTTAGAATGGCATTAATGCAGTCATTTGTTCCACAAAATTTGGGTCTTTCTCACATCAGTCGAGAACAGATAATCAGAAATCACACACGGCCATTGGCACAGACGTTATTTGGCGACATCTCAAATACTCAAGCTATACTTGTATTGGATGGGACCTACATATATATCCAGAAAAGTGGCAACTTTCAGTTCCAGCGTCGGACTTTTTCAATTCATAAATCTCGTCCATTACTAAAACCTATGATTGTTGTTTCCACAACTGGATACTTCATTACCGTACTTGGGCCTTACTTTGCAGATTACAAAAATAATGATGCTTCTATTTTAAAACATATTCTGCACAACAACATTGAAGATATTAAGAACTGGGTTGAAGAAAATGACATTTTCATTGTTGACCGTGGTTTCAGAGACTCTTTAGAACTGTTGGAGGACCTTGGAATTAAAGCTGAAATGCCATGTTTTATGCAAAAGGGTCAAAAGCAGATGACAACACAAGATGCAAATGCGAGCAGATTAGTAACAAAGGTATTTAAAAAAACTTGTCTAAATTAGAGCAACATTTACTACAAATCCTTTAGTTATACTTATTTTGGCAACAAGTATTTAAAAACTTCCTTATTTTTTACATCAAAACACATGACGTGTGGTGCATGTGACTCGCTCTTCAGCACCTGGTCTCACTTTCAGTTTATGTTTGGAAGCCAACGTGTTCAGTCCCACCTAATTTGTATTTTATATCATGTTTACTCGGACCTTGCTTTGGTTGAGTGACTGTTACTTTGTGTTGGAGTAAAACACGAGCTTAATGAAGTAAATCATATCACAAATATATACATATTTGTTTTTAAAACTTATCACAAGACAGTTATGGTAAAATCAAATGTAACAATGTAAACAACAAACCTATAATTGCAATTATACAATGATTTTTATAATCGATTATTATTATCACTATGCTGATGAAACATTTAAAAAATAGCAAGACCTTAAACACTAATAGTTGGTGGAATATATATATAATTTCAGGTACGTTGGGTTGTTGAATCGGCAAATGGGCAGATAAAGAGATGGAAGTATATGGACCATGTGCTTCCAACAAATCAGGTGCCATATATTGGTGACCATGTGCGGATCATTTGTGCTATCTGCAACAAATACTTTCCATCATTGTCTCCAGGTAAAGTAATTACAAAAAAACTTTCAGTGACATGTTTATGCAAGAATATAAATAAATTGTACAAGATAAATCACAAAAGAAACTTATCGGTCTTTTTACACACATTCAATTAAGATTTATCTTGGGTGTGCTGGTTTGGTTGGTTGGTTGAATGGGGTTTAACGTCCCAGTCAAGATTTTTGCACTTATATAGAGACATCACCAGTTATAGGTTAAGGTGCAGAAATTAAGACTTATGCAAATGGAAAATGCAGTAAGGGTTCTTTATCGTGCCTCACGTGACTTCAGGTTAAGTTCTCATCCGAAAGGCCCCTATTTTACGACAAGAATGAGTACTGGGGTCCTATTCTTATCTGGGAATTTGGTTTAATTGGGGAAAAAACCACCAACATGACCACTGTGTATATTTGGTCTCGCCATTCCCACCTAAAATAATCGAAATAAAAATAAATCTGTATATTACAGGGAACACAGATGACGAGGCATTGGCAACAAAAATGCTATATCTGTCCAAACAAATCAACAACCTAAAGAGCAGAGTGGAAGATGAAAATATGGAAAAGCGACGAGTGATATGGACAGAACCAGATGATTGTTTGATTAACTTCCCTAAACTTGATGAGACAGACTTGAGAAATATTACATGTGGTTCTTATCAACTAAAGTTGGCTAGTAGTTACATGCAGGAGCATATAAACGGTGACTGTGAAATGCAAGTCCACAAGGAAAACGACAATCTAATTAGAGTCAGACTTCAAAGCCGACATGTCTCTTCCAAGCAATATCTTCTGTGGATTGAACATGATTGTGTTAATGTTGTTGCATGGTACTGTAAATGTCGGGCAGGTGCACGTGTAGTTGGAGTCTGTGCACACATAGCCGCAGTTCTGTGGTATCTTGGGTATGCTAGACACCACCCAAATGTCAATTTTGGCATTAAAAATTGGGGAGATTTTGTTCAAGATGCCCAGTGCATTCCAGAATCTGTTGATTCTTCTGACAGTGAACAGAGTGTTGTTGAAGAATAACATTGTTACATGTTCTGGTTCTACCTTGAATTAACTGAATTTTGAAATTGAAATAATTTCTTGAATTTTCTAGATAAAAAGGTCATTGATGTCTCATTTTAAAGGGTCTCTTTGATCCCTTGATGTCTACATTTAAGATAGTTAGCTAATTTGAATTTCAAAAACCATATAAAATGACAAAAATTTGCATTATATAAGGAAAGGAAAATCTGAGCCAAGGAATAATTGTGGAAACAGAATATTCTGACATGGATGACTATGAGAATTATTTAATGATGTTACTAAATATTTATGGATATCCATAATTCATTTTATAGATATCCATATTTCAATGATATTCATTTTATGGATATCCATAAATGCAAGTGAACTATGGATATCCATAACTGAAATTGTAGATATCCATAAATGAATTATGGATATCAATAATTTATGCAGATTTAAGGTTATCCGAAATTGGAAATATTGATATCCTTAATTTGATTTATAGATATCCATAAATGAATTATTAATATAAATAACTAGTGAATAAATTGTACAACAGCAACCATATGCCATTTTACTTTTTATTCACAATGTTTATTAATATCCTTCATTTGATTTTCAATTATAATTATCTAAGTCTAAAGATTTATGGATATCCAAATCAAATTATGGATATCCATAACTGTAAGAGAATTATAATCAAACATAAATATTAAATCAAATTATAGATATCCATAAATCAAGTTATGTATATCTGAACTCATTTTGATATAATATTATCCATATATTGAATAAGTGATATTTATGAATCAATTTATAGATATCCATAAATGAATTATTGATACCAATGAATAGTTAACAAATAGTAAAACGGTGCCCCATACATACACCCACCCAAAATATTTGTGTCAACTTTTTCTATTGTTGGTGTATACAAACGAAATTAACAATATTTTTTTTCTTTACCAATAACAGTATAGTGTAATAGTGTATATATGAATGCTGTAAATGCAATTAAATAAAATGATAAGTTAAAAGCATGTGATGTAAACATGTTGGTATATGTACAGTAGCAGTCGTAATAGTAACCTGTTTGCTTATATTTCTCCATATCATCTTTTTTAATGATTTTCCTCTGGAATTTTGATACAATTTAAGGAAACAGAAACATTTGGCATTAGTGACTGATGTGGTTGCCATGGCAACAAATGTGTTTAATTAAATAGATAATTGATAAATTAATTTTTAGGAAAAAATCCTAGAAATTAACATGATCAAATTTGATGTAAATTCAAATATGAAAAAAAAAAAACTTTTTCGAGTTGGAAAAACTATAATACAGATGATATGTGGTTGCTATGACACTGCTAACTAGAGACATAATAATGGTATTTTGACTTGTATTCCCAAGGAAGTTGTTAAAAAGTGTATTGGGTTATCACAACAGTAAAAGTGATTTTGTCCCTGCATCTAACAGTTGTTTTGTTGTATTTTCCAGCAGAATGGTATAGGAATTTATAGGAAAATCACCTAAAAAGGGAGGGGGTCTTGTTAGTGGTTGCCATGGCAACGGAATTGATGTTTTCCAGATAATAATATTATTTTATGAAGGGTAAGTATTTGGAGTATATATGGGTCAATTTTGAAGAAAATCCAACACTGGGCCAAATTTGATGGTTCGTGGCTCTTCTCCTTTCCATTTAAAATCCTTAAAATTCTGACAACCTATATTTTCTTTGTGGCAGAAAAATTACAATATAACTACAACATTTGAAGAAATTCTACTGAGAAATGGTGACACAATCCTATAACCTTAAAGTAGTATTGGGTACATAACTGGGTCGTATGGGGTAGTATAAGTAGTATTGGGTTAGAGTCACAGCATTTCCGGGATGTGTTCAGCTCCAGATCGCGTATTTTCCACGACAAAAAATGTCGGATAGAAGTAAAAAAAACTTCTCTAACTTTGATAATTCACAGTATTAAAGTAGTATTGGGTACATAACCGTGTCGTATGGGGTAGTATTGTGTATTTAGACATGCCCAGTTTGCTTACCGCTATGTTATTTAATTTGTCAGCAAGTTCAAAGAGTAATTCATTCTCACAATATGATCACAGGCTCTTCTGATTTGAAGATATGAGGTGTATTCAATATACCGGGAGTAAATTTCAGTTGTCTGCCCTCTACTGGTCATATACAGACAATAACAATACCCTATGATCACTAAACACTGTCAATGTTTTAGAAGTAATGAAATTAAATACCTTATGCTTCAAGATGTAGAATGTTGGTTCCTTAGCCTACACTATAGCTTTTGATTAATTTGATCAAATTCTTCAAAGAAGAATTGTTTATTTTACATTTCACAGTATGCATTACATTTTGGTTGTGTTTTTTGTTTTTCCTTGTTATCTGGAGTAATTACTGACCAGTTAGCTCTATAATTTTCATATAAACTAGAGAAACTGTGATTGAAGTCTCAAAGATTTACCCAGATTCCCAAGAAATGTTTAGATGACTTTCTTCTTAAATACCTAGTTAATCACCTATTAATTTCTTTCTTTCTGTAACATATACAAATTAATCATTCTTTATTTGTAAATCACAACAGACAAATTTAAAAAGAACACAAACTATTGTTTCTTTGATAATTTTATTTTACAATATTGTGAATTAAAACTTGTTTTGTTGTCGATGTAATTTTTAAAATCATGATGGTTATATAAATGAAATCTACAAAACACTTGTTGAAAACATTTGCTTGCTTCCATGTTGTGAATGCTATGTAAAAGTGATCTGTACTCATAATTATTATTCAATACAACAAAACTGATATGGTTCAAATACATTGGTCTTGTGCATCACTGTTGCTCAAATGTACACTATTTTTTGTAACAATTACTACTTAAAAGAATGTTTAATTTTCAGATGACAAATGGAAATTTCATGAACTACTTTTTCTAGTACAGGAGCACTGGTTACATATTAAACTACATAATTTTAAGAGATATATCTAGTTTTTATCTTGAATTTTGTTCAAGAGACTGAAAACAAAACATTTTGTTGAGCAGTTTAAAGACTCCTCACCAACCTCATACTAAATGTAGAGAGATGGAAGGCTACTGGCTACTATACAACAAAAACATGGACTAATAACCTATCCAAAACTTCATAGTATTCAAAAATGATATGAATTTTCACACAAGTTTCACAATTGTGACTTATCTCTCAACATTTTGATTACAGCCATATTTACAAGACTTCAGTCAATGCCATCTTTAGTGTAAAATTTATGACATAACAAGTTGTATTGCTACAAAATAATCATGCATCAAAACCAATGTACTCCTACCACCTATCAATTGCTTAAAGGGCAAAAGTTAAAGAGATAAAATATGATAAGTTCTCCTTCAACATCTTCTATCTCACGATTTGTTGAAAAGATTTCTGTCAAATTTCACTTGTGAAATAAAATCCTTTAAACACATGTAAACTTTTACAATACAAATTTAGAAAAAAATAAATGCAGTCTACAAACACATACTACATTATGACTTTCATTTCATCTTATTATAACATTTTTTTTCTAGTTGGCAGTTCTATGATCAGTAATTATGCAAAAAAACAAATTCTATCATATTCTTTGAATGAGAACAAATTCATCAATATTTTAATACAATTAAAAACAAACATTAACTGCACTGAAAGAACACAAATTTGAAATAAACAAAATGTTTTGATCCATTTTTAGGTTTTCCTTCAAAAACATCTACAACAGGCAATTGTTACAACTTACAACATGTATCTATTGTTTTATATCAAATTCCATTGAATGTGCCACAGAAAGTTTTTTTTATGAAATTCAATTGAATGTTCCCTAGAAAGTGACCTCGACAAGTTTCTTCCATGTCTCCTCCAGTTATGTATGTTATCTGACGATTGTTGTCTGACCCTCAGTGATGAATGAATTGTCTCACCAATGCCTGCTTGTCTGTTTGACTATGTATCTAGCAAAGGTAACTATGAAAACTGGATTGGTGTAGCAGAGAAACACAACTTGAAAACGTAGGGATTCTTGCCAGCTGAAAACATAACACATACTGCATTATCAATGTTCTGTATAAAATAAAAAGAATACTGAATATATAGAGTATCTCTAACAGTGTGTTCATAAAAGCATGAGTAAGGTGACGATACTTCATCCTGATCTGTTTACCACTAGCATGTCTAGACAATCCTACATGACAAAATGTATTCCTCTCTGCAAAATATATTTAAACAAGAGGCCCAATGGGCCTTCATCGCTCACCTGGTATAACTTTCACACTTGTTATCTTAAAAGTGGACTAAAATACAGCTACAGGCAGAATATCAGTGTTTGATTCACAAGAACCCATTAAAAGATTTAAATGTATGACGCCTGCGACCTTGAATGTCGAACAAGGACATCAGGTTTAAAGTGGTCAAGGTCATTCATTTGAACAAACTTTGTAGTCCTTCATCCTACCATTCTAAAGGCCCAGTTTCAGTACCCTGGGCCTTTTGGTTATTGAGAAGTGGTTTATAATATTTGAGACATTTGACCCATGCGACATTGCAAGTTGGTCAAGGTCATTCATTTGAACAAACTTGGTAGCCCTTCATCCCAGCATGCTACAGGCTCAATATCAGTACCCTGGGCCTTTTGGTTATTGAGAAGAAGTAGTTTGAAGATTTGTTGACCCCTGTGACCTTGACAGTCGGTCAAGGTCATTCATTTGAACAAGCTTGGTAGCCCTTCATCCAAGCATGCTACTATTTTTTTTGTGCAAGGTATAGATAAAAAGTTAAAATCTGGTGTATGTACTAGTGTGTAATGAGGGCTTCAAGGGCTGTGCAGGGTAAGTGTGCCTTGAAGTCCTCTAGTGTTGTGCATTGGACTGCTGCTAAGGGGAGGAGATTCCATTGTGTTACTGTGTGTGGGAAGAATGAGTATTTGTAGGTGTCCTTTGTAGCAGATATGTGTTTGTATGCGTACAGGTGAACCTGTCTGGTGCGGGGGTCTACAGGTGTGAGTATATGTGTTGGGTTTAAAGCTACGATTCTGTGTATAATTTTGTAAAAAAAGGATAATTCTAGTGTATAAGCGTCTTGTTTGTAGTGTTGGCCATTGAAGTGTGTGGATCATGTCTTGTTACGGAACTAGTGTTGTGGGATCTGTTTTGTACGTAGCGTGCTGCTCTTCGTTGTGTTTTTTCTATTTGTTTAATTTGGTTTGTGTTGTGTGGATCCAAAATGGAAGAGCAGTATTCAAGTTTAGGCCTAACTAGTGCTTTGTAAGCATCCAAGCATGCTACAGGCTCAATTTCAGAACCCTATGGGCATTTTGGTTATTGAGAAGTTGTTTGAAGATTTTAAAACATTTGACCCTTGTGACCCTGAAAATGGGTCAAGGTCATTCATTTGAACAAATTTGGTAGCCCTTCATCCCAGTTTGCTTCTGGCTAAATATCATCACCCTATGCCTTTTGGTAAATAAGAAGAAGTCGTTTAAAGTAAAATATTGTGTGTGTGTACAAAGGTTGTTATAATAGAGTATGTTTACTGGTTGTGTATGTACACAGGTTGTAATAATAGAGTATGTTTACTGGTTGTGTGTGGGTGTGTACACAGGTTGTTATAATAGAGTATGTTTACTGGTCGTGTATGTACACAGGTTGTAATAATAGAGTATGTTTACTGGTCGTGTATGTACACAGGTTGTTATAATACAGTATGTTAACTTGTTGTGTGTGTGTGTGGGTATGTACACAGATGGTTGTTATAATAGAGTATGTTTACTGGTCGTGTGTGTGTGTGTACACAGGTTGTTACAATACAGTATGTTTACTGGTCGTGTGGGTGTGTGTACACAGGTTGTTATAATACAGTATGTTTACTGGTTTTGTGTGTGTGTGTGAACACAGATTGTTATAATACAGTATGTTTACTGGTTGTGTGTGTGTGTGTACACAGGTTGTTATAATACAGTATGTTTACTGGTTGTGTGTGTGTGTGGGTATGTACACAGATGGTTGTTATAATAGAGTATATTTACTGGTCTTGTGTGTGTGTGTGTACACAGGTTGTTATAATAGAGTATGTTTACTGGTCGTGTGTGTGTGTGTACACAGATTGTTATAATACAGTATGAGTACTGGTTGTGTGTGTGTATGTACACAGGTTGTTATAATAGAGTATGTTTACTGGTTGTGTGTGTGTGTGTGTACACAGGTTGTTATAATAGATGTGGTCGTGTGTGTGTAGGGATTGTTACTAGAGTAAACTTAATGGTTATTGATACTTACATGGGTTGGGTACGCTGGTGTGGTTAGTCAGGACCAGAGCCTCTGTAGCTTCCGCCTTGGATTCAAACTCCACCAGGCCAGTAGAACTTCTATCAGCTACAAAACACACACTGTGCATTACAAGAAACTCAAAGTAGCAGGAAACCTTTGCAGGCTTTGGTATAACAAAGATGTTTTACTGGTCAAAAGTTGCTCTGTCTTTTTAGGGACAAACATGATGGGCTGAAACATTGATGCCGGATGGATGACTAAAGCCACGCCAGGACATTTTGTAAAGCGTGAACTATGACTTTTTGATCTTGACTGATCTGTCATGACCACAAATATCAGATTTAAATGCATGTACAGTTTAACCTCGTTATCATTATATGGATATCATCAAACTCTTTTAACTTGAAAAGACCCTGTTTATCTCGAAGTATTTCTCCGGTCCCTGCCAAATCTCTTCTTTATCTTTGTAAATAAAACTCTATTATATCGAACCTTGAAAAGTCGAAAAACTTGGATACCTCGAAGTAACATCGGTTTCAATAGCGTAAATCCCACATCAAAAGATCATCTACTTCATAGTGTTCAAAATTCATTGTCACTTATTAATTATTTGATACAAATAAATGCAAAAGTACAGCATCTCTTCATTTCGTGTTTATGAACTTCCTGCGCAAGTAGACTAGCATGAAATCGATAAAAAGAATTCAGGATAAAGCTTTAGACTGTAAAGTGTGTTTGTTGTTCATGATAAAAAACAAACTTCATCAATGTTGATCAATGTAAGTATTCTGTACTTACTGCGAGTCCGTTTCATGATTTATACACCCAAACAGACGACAGTGTAAACCAGAAAATTGGTCACAAAGCGTGGTTATGCATTAAAGAGTTCCACAACCTAGGACAGCTTCAGGGGTTCTTGTTTTTACATGAGCCAGTGTGGCTTTGAATGTCGATTGAGAGATTTAAGAACAATACGATAATTGCTGTTGATTACATCAAGTTGAGGAGTCAGGTGTCACGTTTGGCTTTAATGAGTCAATGTATTACATGTACCCTATAATATGTTTGTGTGTTTTTATTTACAGAATCAACTACATGTATGCGTTCGCTCCATTACAGTGATTTGTTTTAGACTTGCGCACTTTCATTTCCGCATTGTATAGTTCCATTTTAAGTGTAACACTTCAGAAGCAAAACTTGACAGACTTACAAATACAAATGCAGACATGGAAAGACTTTGCCAAGATCTAGACTAGCTAAAAACAACATTTAATCACTAGGCTCGTCCATATTTAATAACAAATTCACAATATGATCCAACCATTTTGATCGTGTAAACAACAGTACGTTTTTCGGAAGTATGTTTGATGCATCACTCAGTGTGTCAACACAATAGGTACTCACATTTTGTTGGGAACTGTTTGATCTTGGGAGGTTTGGGAGCACCAGCATTTTCAAATATCTGAGAAGATACCATTATAACAAGCCTGAATCACATATTGAAGATTAAATGGTTTTCAGTTGACATAAGTTGAATAAAAAGAAACATGAAGAGATAGCAGTATTTAGCTTTATCAGCATCTTAACCAAACAATTACATGATGACATTAAACCATTACCCATCTGTACCTGTAAGTGATAATGCAAAATTCTCTGCTGCAAGAATTCACCGAAAACCATTTTCACAGTATTGCTGTCATTCTTGTCCAGTAAGTCATATACAACTATATTTTTCAACCTCAAATTAACTTTTGTGTGTTAATTTTGGACACTTTTTTGTCTGGTCTTATCTAGGATATCATTGCCTCCAAAGTTATTAACAAACTACATCATGACAACAGATCATAGTGTCCACTAAATCTTCAGGGGATTAGCGAGATACACAAAATGCTTACATCAAAAGCAATATATTAAGATCTTTGACCCTTTGATATGGATCATTGACCACCAATCAGTAGAACATATAATGATGTAAATATAAATGAAAACTGTTAAGAGGGTTCATGATACGTTTTTAACAAACTATTAATGTATTCTGTAATCCTTACTTTGTCCATCTTTATATCGCATGATTATCAGTACTGTAATCCTTTACTTTGTCCATCTTTATATCACATGATTATCAGTACTGTAATCATTTACTTTGTCCATCTTTATATCACATGATTATCAGTACTGTAATCCTTTAATTTGTCCATCTTTATATCACATGATTATCAGTACTGTAATCATTTACTTTGTCCATCTTTATATCACATGATTATCAGTACTGTAATCCTTTAATTTGTCCATCTTTATATCACATGATTATCAGTACTGTAATCATTTACTTTGTCCATCTTTATATCACATGATTATCAGTACTGTAATCCTTTAATTTGTCCATCTTTATATCACATGATTATCAGTACTGTAATTCTTTACTTTCTCCATCTTTATATCACTTGATTATAATTATCAGTACTATAATCCTTTACTTTGTCCATCTTAATATCCCATGATTATCGGTTTTATAATCCTTTACTTTGTCCATATTTATATCACATGATTATCAGTACTATAATCCTTTACTTTGTCCATCTTTATATCACATGATTATCAGTACTCTAATCATTTACTTTGTCCATCTTTATATCACATAATTATCAGTACTCTAATCCTTTGCTTTGTCCATCTTTATATCACATGATTACCAGTACTGTAATCCTTTACTTTGTCCATCTTTATATCACATGATTATCAGTACTCTAATCCTTTGCTTTGTCCATCTTTATATCACATAATTATCAGTACTCTAATCCTTTACTTTGTCCATCTTTATATCACATGATTATCAGTACTGTAATCCTTCACTTTGTCCATCTTCATATCGCATGATTATCAGTACCGTAATCCTTTACTTTGTCCATCTTTATATCACATGATTAAAAGTAACTGTATTGTTGTTATCGCATGATGGAAGACAATTCTAAGGAAGTCATGTCTGAACCATAAGTTTTACCTTAGCTCTCAAATAATGTATACCGTTGTTCTGATGATGGCTAGTCTAGCTAGTTGGAACATGTAAACTTAATAAAAATGAACTTAACCAAATCTTAGGTGTTGATGCTCCATTCATCTATTTGTGTAAATTAAACTCTCTATTTCTAAAGTTTATAACTTTATGTTACCATACTATTCTGTAACTATAAACTAAACCTGTGGAGGGGTAATGAAATATGTATACAAACTTCTTACAATGGACAAATGTACACAAAGAATCTCAAAATTGATTTCCATATTACCTCTGAACAAAGTAGGGGTATTGAAAGTGTTTAGTGTAGCAACATCAACCAGACGGAAATGTATAAGAAAAAAACTCACCTGTTCAATATCTTCATTAGTAATGTTTGGAGGTGCGTTGAAGTAATGCAGGATTTTGGAAGCTGTCTGAATACGTGATAGGGTTAAGGTTGATGATTGTAAATAGTTGGTGTAAGACTAAAATACACCTAAGCACTAAGTATATGAGTATCATATCTGTTTTAGATTTTTAATGCCCAGCAATTTTATGTATGGATATGGGGGGGGGGGAGATCTTAACTATTTCAAAGTTATGACCCAGGGGTTAAGTCTCCAAGGGTCGGGCAGACCCTGGGGTCACTTCTTATATCATGACTGCATTCGTCTCTTTATGCCCAGCATTTGTATATATAGTTTTGGGGCGGGGATTTCAACCGTTTCAAAGTTATGACCCAGGGACTATGTCTCCAAGGAGGGGCCAGACCCTTTAGCCAAGGGGGTCAGCCCCACTACTTGTACAATTTGAATCCCTGCCTCCCATGAATGCTTCCAACCAAATATGATTGATATTCAGTGCATAATTCTACAGAAGAAATCATTTATAGCAATCTAGCCAAATTGCCCCTTTTTAGCCACGCCCCTCAGCCCCCTGTAGGGTCAGCCCCACCATTTGTTCATTTTTGAATCCCCACTACCTAAGGATGCATCCAGTCAAATATGGTTGATATCAATCTCTTAGTTGCAGAGAAGAGAGGCTAAAGCAATATAGCCAAATCAACCTTTTTGGCCCCGTCCCTCAGCCCCCTGGGGGGACAGTCCCACCATTTGTACACTTTTGAATCCCCGACTCTCATGAATGCTTCTGACCAAATATGAATAATATCCAGTGCATAGTTCTACAGAAGACGTCATTATAGCAATTTAGCAAAATTGGCCCCCTTTTTGCCCCGCCCCTCCAACCCCTGGTGGGTCAGCCCCACCATTTGAACAATTTTGAATCCCCACCACCTAGGGATGCTTCCTGTCAAATATAGTTGATGTCCATCTTTTAGTTGTAAAGAAATTGTCCCCCTTTTGGCCTCGCCCCTCAGCCCCACCATTTGTACAATTTTGAATCCCCACTACCTAGGGATGCTTCCAGTCAAATATGGTTGATGTCCATCTTTTAGTTGTAGAGAAGTCGCTTTAAGCAATATAGCCAAATAACCCTTTTTGGCCCCAACCCTCAGCCCCCTCATTTGGTAAATTTTGAATCCCCACCACCTAGGGATGCTTCCAGTCAAATATGGTTGATGTCCATCTTTTAGCTGTAGAGAAGAAGTTGCTTAAAACAATATAGCCAAATAACCCTTTTTGGCCCCGCCCCTCAGCCCCATTGGGGGTCAGCCCCACCATTTATACAATTTTGAATCCCTGCCTACCATGAATACTTCTGACCAAATATGATTGATATCCATTGCACAGTTCTACAGAAGTCATTTATAGCAATATAACCAAATTGTCCCCTTTTGGCCCGCCCCTCAGCCCCCTGGGGGGGGGGGGGGTTTACCCTACCATTTGTACAATTTTGAATCCCCACCACCTAGGGATGCTTCCAAGTTAAATTCCACTCAGTGGCTAAGAAGAAGAAGTCGTTTGAAGAAATTGTGGACGTACAGACGAAGGACGGACGACACGGTATGCCACCAGCTCAAAATGAATCATTAACTTTTTACAATGTTTCAGTATAATCAAATTTATATTGATATTATTTTTACATTATATTTCATTTATTTTGGTGTATTGCACTCTAACAGATCAGGTATGACACAGCATGTATAAGGCAAGGATATGATTTTTACTGGCAGACTCTGGGTTGGTAAATCTGTTGTTGCGATTGCCCATGTAATCTTTAAATGAACAGCTACCATCAGCAAGGTCGTGGGGGTTCGGCACATCCTGAAGAAACGCCTGCTTGGATGGTCTGCAATACAAAAACATCATTTTTACAAAAACAAATTGTGTTTATGTATTCTTCTACAAAAGGCCCAGCTCTCTTCAACATTCATTTACAATTTAAAGTCAGTTGAATACCATGCATGTTTATTGAAAGTGTACAAGAAATAAAATCTGTTATAAGAATGAAACTCAGCTGTGAGCAGGAAAGACTACAAGAACATGAGTTTATTTATTTCTTCATGCCAAACAATTTTATATTTGGTTTAATCAAAGGGTAGGAATCTTTACAATTTCCATGTTATATAAGTCCCCTTGGATAAGGTCAGATCCCTTAGCTAATAGGGCTGCAATGGTAAGAAATAATGTAAGTCGATGACCGTGTGCTTAAACTGAACCAAAACCGGGTAACGGTGCTTTTTGTGCCATGAAATACAGCCACCAATGGCCTTTTATTTTGATAAATTCACTAAATGCATAAACAAAGAAAACTCAATACCTATTCCTTGTAAATAATGTAGGCATATCAGCTGTCGCTAGATGGCATAGCAAGGGAGATAACTGCCAAATTTCCGTTTATGTCATTTTCAGCCATGACACTTTGTATGCTTTTGGCGAGACTGTTAAGCTGGTGCATTTACATCGCATTTAATATATTCTTCCCATGACATCTTGTTTTGAAAGGCACTGGGTAAACTTTACATATTATTCTTTATATTCATGTTGTGTTTCATCCAATTTCATTCCGATTAATTAACTAACGCACTAATACTTGCAGTCAACCGAACTTCAGGACGCTGGTTACCGGCATATTTTTTGTACTAGTTTGCAATGAAGAGCATGGTCGCAGAAAGTCTAGCCACGAAACGAAATCATGTGCAATGGTTTATTGTTGTGACAAGTTTCCTATTGATATATAGAACCGTTTGAAACCGACAGGGATTTTTATATTGTTGCACTGCAATCTGTACGCGTTACCTCCCTTCCCACTAAATTTCGTTTCTAAAATGTTTACAAAGGTGAATTCTGTACTGTTTTCATGTTATTTTCGTTTTTAAGAGAAACGGAACAAAGTCGCTTTTTAAAGAAGGTTGTATCATTAGGGAGATAACAAGAGAATTTAAATATATAAGTAATCTTTTTAAAAAATAATGATGTAAAAAATTTGGACATTTTACATTCATGAAAAATGAAAATAAACATCTAAATCTTAGAAAATATAACTCAATACAACTATAGTGTATAGGTGATTAATATAGCTATATAGGTAGCAGAGTACAGTAGAAATTACTTTTGTGGTATAGACACAGACACTGCAGTCTCATTTTTTTAAATTATAAAGCCCACATAGTCCACTTCATCATGCATATGCCACTTTTAGTGATTTTTGGTGTGTTTTTAGATACATGTGTAATATTACAGGGATTTAAATTTAAGTGACAGAAATAAATATCAACAAGTTTATTTTAGGAGCAAGTTTGAAAAACTAACATGAAACAGACTATTAGAAACAAGTATTAGAAAACATATAACATTTATCTCCCTTGCATATCAAAATCATCTACAAACAGGCAGTATCTAAATTGGATTATCTCCCTTGCATTTCATGACCTCAACATTGGCCTTTACCTGTGAACATTAATAAATTACCATACATGAATGACCAATAAAAAATCTTTGTTTATTCAACACCTGTATACATTTCTTTATATGAAAGGATAATTTTTATTGGTCGAATCTACAATTTTATTTTCAGCCGATATGCTGATTATGAATTGGCTACATATCGCTAGCCTCCAGCCTGGGAAATTTTTGTAGTTCCTTTTTACACTCACGTGTTGTCAACGCTATGCGCAAGTATTTCTGTGCATCACTTCAAGTTCACAGACAATAGCTGCCGTTGAATGATAAAGTTACATTGTTCAGCAGAATGTCAGTCAACATTATGTCATTCAAAATTTATCGTATACTTGCACTCAATAGTATGGCAAGTACACTGATCGTGAAAATCAATAAGTATTGACCTACATTTTGAGACGGTTTTCGGGTACGTAGATGTGCTAGCCGGATAGAACTTGTAACCGAACCGAACCTGGGTACTCTGTTACCCGTTCCCGCCCTATGAACTAATCCTAGCAGCAAGAATGTATTTATCCCTTTATGCCTAGAAATTGCAGACATTCTTGCCTTGCTTATTATTGGGGCAGTTTGGCCCTATACCAAAAACATGTAGGGCCTTTTGTGTTTAAAACTTGGACAATTTACTAGACAAAAAATGTACTTTAATCTTACCTCAATGTAACATATAATTAAGCTTGAATTTAAATTATAAACAAGAGGCCCAAGAGGGCCTGTATCGTTCACCTGAATATTTAAGCAGTCATAGCAAAATATTCTCATTAAATATTATATTGCACTAAAAATATTTCCTTCGCAAACTTTGTTGGCTCCATCTGTTGAAACTACCAGCAAAATATTATTACAAGATTCTATGCTTTTTGATTCTTCAGAGGTTGCTTGACATTTTTTTTCCCTGTGACCTTGTAAGTAGGTCAATGTCATTTTCCTTCTCAAATTGGTAAGCCCTATTCGAAAAGCTACCAGCCAAATCTTATGAATCCATTCCTTTTAGTTCTTAAGATCAAATCGATTAAAATGTTCTTGACCTCTGTGACCTCGAAAGTAGGTCAAGGTCACTGTCATTCGCAAACTATGTTGGGCTCTTTCCCAGGAAATAACCAGCCGAATATTAAGGTTCTATAACTTTCAGTTCTTCAGAAGAAGTCATTTGAAGTGTTTGACATATCTGCCTCATGTGACCTTAAAAGTAGGTCAAGGTCATTTTCATTCTCAAACTATGTTGGGCTCTTTCCTACGAACCAATCAGCCAAATATGAAGATTCTATACCTTTTAGTTCTTCAGAAGAAGTCGTTTGAAATTTTTGACATATTTGACCCCTGTGACCTTTAAAGTAGGTCAAGGTCATTTTCATTCTCAAACTTTGTAGGGCTCCTACCAACAAAGCTTTCAACCAAATATCATTACTCTAAGCCTGTCAGTTCTTCAGAAGAAGTTGTTTAAAGGAAAATTTGACGGACGAGGACGGATGGACGGACGGACGACAGACGCCACACCACGACATAAGCTCACTTGCCATGAGCTAAAAAGTTAACGCACGACGTACGGAAAGTGTCAGAATAGGTCATTGAGCAAAGCTCAGGTGACCTAAAAATACAGTGGTTTGTGAGGAAAATCCAAAAAATATATCATTGTTTATTGATCTTACAGTTAAACTAGAATTATGTCAGTGTGACATTAAAACCGCTCACCACTTTAAATTTGATTGCTTCAGTAACACATTGAGCATCAATATCTACTATAATACCTCAGATATTTGTTCTGTATTCTGCTAATTGAAAATCAGGTCATGTGATGATGTTGCCTTTGGAATTTCCAAAATCAATCACCTCTTAAATGATGCTTTAAATACATTCTCCCTCTCCTCTTTTTTCACCCTCTTTAAGTGTGACGCATTGTTATAATTTTCATTAATTAGCATCTCCGATGATGTGACATGAGCATAATGGCAATCGGTGAATGGATAATAAAGAATAGGTGCATTTGTGCTTGTGAGATGAAAGATAGTTAACAGAAGTGGGAAAACATGCATCGAGAAAAGAGACATTGTACTCCTTTTAATTTAATTTAATTTTTTATTCTTATTAATAACAAGAGGCCCAAGAGGGCCTGTATCGCTCACCTGAATATTTAAGTAGTCATAACAAAATATTCTCATTAAATATTATATTGCACTAAAAATATTTCCCTCGCAAACTTTGTTGGCTCCATCTGTTGGCTCCATCTGTTGATACTACCAGCAAAATATTATTATAAGATTCTATGCTTTTTGATTCTTCTTCAGAAGTTGCTTGACATATTTTTCCCTGTGATCTTGTAAATAGGTCAATGTCATTTTCCTTCTCAAATTGGTTAGCTCTATTCCAAAAAGCTACCAGCCAAATCTTATGAATCCATTCCTTTTAGTTCTCAAGAACAAATCCATTAAAATGTTGTTGACCTCTGTGACCTCTAAAGTAGGTTGAGGTCATTTTTATTTGCAAACTTTGGTGAGCTCTATCCCAGGAAGTCACCAGCCAAATATTATAATTTTATGCCTTTTAATTCTTAAAAGAAGCTGTTTGAACTGTTTGACATATTTGAACGCTGAGATCTTGAAAGTAGGTCAAGGTCATTTTCATTCAAAAAGTTTGTTTGGCTCTTTCACAGGAAGCCACCTGCCAAATATTAAGATTTTATAACTACCAGTTCTTCAGGAGAAGTCGTTTAAAGTGTTTGACATATCTGCCTCATGTGACCTTAAAAGAAGGTCAAGGTCATTTTCATTCTCTAATTTGTTCGGCTCTTTCCTAGGAAGCCATCAATCAAAAACAAAGATTCTATACCTTTCAGTTCTTCAGAAGAAGTCATTTTAAGCTTTTGACACATTTGACCCCTGTGACCTTGAAAGTAGGTCAAGGTAATTTTCATTCTCAAACTTTGTTGGGCTCTATCCCAGGAAGCCATCAGCCAAATATGAAGATTATATACCTTTTAGTTCTTCAGAAGAAGTCGTTTGAAGTTTTTGACATATTTGACCCCTGTGACCTTGAAAACATGTCAAGGTCATTTTCGTTCTCACACTTTGTAGGGCTCCTACCAACGAAGCTTTCAGCCAAATCTCATGCCTCTCAGCCTGTCCGTTCTTCAGAAGAAGTTGTTTAAAGGAAAAGTTGACAGACGAGGACAGACTTCGTGCCAGGTGAGCTAATAATTATCAATATATGTAGCGACTTTATTTACTGCCATTGAATATACAAAATCTCACAAATGTTCTTGGAATATATTTGAATTATATCTCTCAATGCGACTTTACCAACGTAAGAGTTATTTCCCTTACACCAGATTGGATAATATTTTGACACGGCGCGAATTCTTGTCAAACAGCAGCGCAGTTGTGTCATGTTCTTAAATTGTTACATTTGCATAAATAAATACATCAGAAAAAGCATGCTGTGTTACAGAAATGTTTGATAAGCATACACAGTTCACATATATCATCTCGTCTCAAGAGCCATTACCGTTATCAACCTAAGCACGATATGTCATATTACGTTCCCGTTTGAAACATCAAAATAAAGGTTATACTTCATCACTCATACGGTTTGTAAGTATATATATTTACTTCTTCCTTCTACAGACAGCGTCAACGCTTGACAGGCTTCACATGTGCTTTTTCGAATCATATGTGTTTCACACGCGTAAACCTCCTCAGACCTCAATCCGAGTTGCTAAAACGATCAAACCCAGTGCACGAATTTCACCACCACAACACTCGCAGAATGCACCGGAGATAAACATTTTGTTTTCAGCAATTAGTTAAGGTATGGATTATTATTTGGAGAAGAGTATCAGAAGACTTTATGTAACCCACACGTGAGTGTCAGAGATTCTACTTTCTATTTACGATAACGAAACTATAGCGGAAGCATGCAAGACTGAATTATGTGCACACACCTAGAACGGAAGTGGGTCCGTTATTTTGTTCTCTGGACAGAATTAATAAGCCACTTGGCTCTCGCCAAGAGCGGCTTATTTATTTTTTTCTGAAATAAGAAGATTTACCCTGTCTATTAAACTGATTTTGCTAGATCGAGTGACATTTCCTAGAATCGTAAAAGTAACGCATAAGTTCAACATATTCTTGGTCATTAATCATGTTTGTATAGTTATGAACTATCGTTATGGTCTGATGGGACTCTCCTTGCTGCTCTAATCTTGGTAACTGCCTTGTTAAAATACAAAGCTATATTTAGAAGTTTTTCATGCTACGCAACATAATACCTGGCGAGTTCAATTTAGACTTGCCTATTTCCACCTGTGCTGCTGGTGCCATCAGTCCAGCTTTACATCCTGCCTCCACCCCCAAAAATAACAATGTACCAGCGCATTTTAAATGGATGTGCACAACACACAAATATTGTATCTATTCTACAGTACCTACCCAAGCTGCATCTTGCTGCCAAAGAAGAAAGTGTTGTTCAGATTCTGTAGAGCACGGTCTACAGCCATGCTATCTCCCAGCTGTACCATAGCTGCACCCTCCTTACTCTTTAAGAACTTGATCTGTAAGGAGACAAATGGTACCTTTAAGGGATGACTACTAAATGATGTGAAATATAACTAATTAATACCCCCGCGGATGCTGGTAGTTCAAACATCATTTAGTTACTTTGACCTGGGATATCCGGAAAAGTTATTTTGCATAATGGACTGAAACTCCCTTAAAAAGAGTTTAAATCTGAAATTAAAATGCTGGTGCACAACTAGGCATAAATTCATCTAAATTTCATAAGATACGGGATCATTCATGCAAAGTTTCAATAAAATCCACCTGTTAGTTAAGGAGAATTGCGCGGTCAAGTATTTCGCACAAAGGGGCATCGACTCCATAAACCAGAGTACCGCGGGGCGGAACAATATACACCCGTCGAATGCCATATAGTTATATACTTTCTTACATTGAAATAATATCTGCATCATTCAAAGAGTAGTTAGTTGACATGCTATAACAAGAGGCCAAATAGGCCTGCATCGCTCACCTGGTATTAATCTCACACTTGTAATCTTAATAGTGGACTAAATAACAGCTACAGGCAGAATATCAGTGTTTGATTCATAAGAACCTATTAAAAGATTTAAACAATTAACATATGACGCCTGTGACCTCGAATGTTGAACAAGGACATTAGGTTGAAAGTGGGAATAGGTCATTCATTTGAACAAACTTGAAAAGGTATGAATTTATTACGGTCCCAACAATAAACCCACTACATGTATATTGCTCATTGCTTATCGCTTTATAAGCATATCTAAGATCTGTCCTGAAGAGGCGACCCTTATCTTTTCTCTTCTTTCTAAACAACACTAATGTGTGTCCCTTGACAATGCCTCACTTAAGGCCTTTAGTTGAGCGTTTTTGCCCCTGTGGCTTTGGGTTCTGTCCCCTGGCCGAGACATACAGAGTCTGTAAAAATGGGTGTTTCTACTCCTGCTTAACGTTCAGCAGTTTAGGAGCGCGACGACTGGTTCGCCCATTGTCAGTATGTGACCGAGTGGTGTGTCCTGCTTGGTGTCTTGGCATTATATTTCAGTGAGGTAGCACTATAAAGTCGGCATCAGTTCCACGCTATCACAAGGAGACAAACACGAACATATCGCAACCTCCCAAAACACACACATACACTACAGGCATGCAGCTTGCACAAAGGGGAGGCCATCCTTAAATGACCATAGCTGTTGATTGGACGTTAAACTACACTAAACCAAACCAAACCAATATTTTCTACAACCCCTCATGGAGCTTTTATATGTTTTCTGAACGTCAATGGACCATCCAATATCAATTTGACACCACAGTCCACCCATTTTACACCAATTAAAGCATTTACTGTCATCTTTAGCTTGCAATAATTGCCTGGACAACTTAAGACAAACTCAAAGGCTTCAGCTGTACGCATGTGCTACAATGTGTCAGCCCATTTCATGTAAACAATTGATGTCTGCCACAATACTACACTAGAGAGACTGGACAGACTGTGTTGTATGCGACTAATTTGCAGATTGTCTTCAATGACCACTTTTACTGCTAATATCAGCGTGAGCCTATGTCTGAGAAATGCAAAGCTAAAACTTGACCTAAAAACCAGCACATGGTTCCCACGAAAATAAAAACATTATATTCATCTGCACCATGCAGTCCAGCATAGAAAAAAGAGGCATTTATTTACACGAATGGCTGTTGTTATTAATGTCAAAAAGAATATTCTAATTTGGAACCTAGGTTGCACACAGGTCCTCATAATTTTTTGAAAACCCACTCAGGACAATTTGTCAGATTTTTGGCGGATGGATAACTACAAGACAAGAGATCTCAGAGGGATCTTGGCGCCCACCTTTGTACCATCTTCATTAGTTCCTTGTCAGTTCTATCTTTTCTCTTCTTTCCTCTAATCTGTTTGGTCGAGTCATGTTAACAGTAAATGCATCTTGAGGTAACTTTTGATCTAAACTTAATACTGATGTGTATGAAAGCCAACCTTCAAAGTGAGTTTGTCATTTCAAATATTTACTAGTAGTACTTAATGTGAAAGAAATAGAATCGATCATTGCAATATGAGAAAGATACGTTTAGTTCTTCTTTTAATCCATTTTGATTTATGATCAGTCTCAAAATATAACATGCACAACGAGGGATCATGGGGAACCTACATATAAAATTTGAGAAAGATCCCTCCCCTACTTCCCGAGAAATAGTGATAACAACCTTTCACTATCAAAATCGAAGATGGCTTCCTGTCGGCCATGTTGTTTATCCGATTAGTCCCTAAAACTGCCCTACACAGCTAGGACCAAGGGGAACCTACATGTACATATCCAATTTCAGAAAGATCCCTCTAGTTCTTCCGGAGAAATAGTGGTAACAAACCTACACTATCAAAATCCAATATGGCTGCCTGTCGGCCATGTTGTTTATCTGATCAGTCTCAAAAAATGCACAGCTTAGGACCTAGGGGAACCTACATATAAAATTTGGGAAAGATCCCTTTGGTACTTCTTGAGAAATAGTGATAACAAACTTTCACTATCAAAATCTAAGATGGCTGCCTGTCGGCCATGTTGTTTATTCGCTCAGTCTCAAAAGTTGCCCTGCACAGCTAAGGACCAAGGGGAACCTACGTATAAAATTTGAGAAAGATCCCTCTGGTACTTCTTGAGAAATACCGTTAAAAAGAATTGTTTAAGGACAGATGACGGACGGCGAACGGACCACGGACGCAGGGTGATTTGAATAACCCACCATCAGATGATGGTGGGCTAAAAATATAGGCAGTTGTTTGGCTTTTGTGCAAGCATGACGCCTATAGATAAACGGCCAATCAAAAATTGCCTCAGCCAATCAGAGACCAAGGTGATCATCTAAGACTTTTGGAAAGGAAGGAAACTTAACAACACTTGTTCTGGATCTCATAAGGAATGTTGTATTAAGTTAGAAGTTAATCGGTAAATTCATTCTTGATAAGTCGAATATGTCTCAGCCAATCAGAGACAAGGGCGGCAATCTTAGATTTTTAGATTGGCATGAAAAGTAACAACACTTGTTTGGGTCCTCAAAAGAATCAATTGTACCAACTTCAAGTCAATCAGTGCAGCCATTCTTTTGAAGAAGTCGAAAATGTCCGAGCCAACCAGAAACAAGGGCAGCCGAATTGGATTTATGATCGACCCAAAAAATTAACAACACTTGGTCAGGATGTCAAAAGGATTGTTTGTGCAAGTTTGAAGTCAATCACAAAAGTGGTTCTGAAGAAGTTGAAAATGTTTACTAGTACGACAGACGAAGACAGATGGCAATAGCTCACATGAGCAATCATATGAGCTAAAAACAAGAGGACCAGAGGGCCTGTATAGCTCACCTGGATCTCTAAGCAATCATGACAAAATATTCTTCAAATGAGAACCAAGGAAATATGCCAGACCCCAAGCCAATCCTTGTAGCATATCTGTATTAGATTTTTCATGCCCAGCAATTCAATGTATGGTTATGGGGTGGGGATCTCAACTGTTTACAAGCTGTAAATCAGGTCCCTAGGGTTATGGCCAGACACCAGGACCAATTCTAATTTCATGACTGCATTCGTCTCTTTATACCAAGCATTTTATATATAGTTTTGGGGTGGGGATCTCAACCGCTTCAAAGTTATGAACCAGGGACTTTGTCTCCAAGAGTGGGGCCAGACCCTATGGCCATCATAGAAGCAAATGTGCATTCTTCTCTTTATACTCAGCAATTGCATATATGGTTATACAGTGGGGATCTCAACCATTTCCAAGTAATACACTTTTTTTTTAGCTGCACCCCCTAGCCCGGGGGGTCAGCCCCAACATTTGTACGATTTTGAATCCCTGCCTCCCATAAATGCTTCCGCCAAATATGATCGATATCCATGGCATAGTTCTACAGAAGTCGTTTATAGCAATACAGCCAAACTGCCACCATTTGTACAATTTTGAATCCCCACCACCTAGGGATGCTTCAGGTCAAATTTAGTTGAATTCCAATTAGTGGTTAAGAAGAAGAAGATCCATCCAGTACTCGAGATATAACAAACCCACCGTTTATACAAAATTGGTTCCCCTTTACCCAAGGATGCTTCACACCAAATATGGACCAAATCTTTTTATTCCTACAGAAGAAGAAGGATTTTAAAGAATAATTTGCTATGTTTCCCCTATTGGGCCCCACGCATCAGGCCCCCGGGGGGTCAGACCAATGGTTTATACAAAATTGGTACCCCTCACCCAAGGATGCTTCAGACTAAATATGGAATAAATCCTGTCATTCCTACAGAAGAAGAAGGATTTTTTAGAATTTGCTATATTTCCCATATTGGGCCCCGCCCCACAGCCCCAAAGGGGGCCAGACCCACCGTTTATACAAAATTGGTTTCCCTTAACCCAAGGATGCTCAACACCAAATATGGACCAAATCCTGTCATTTTTTACAAAAGTAGAAGGATTTTAAAGAATAATTTGCTATGTTCCCCTATTGGGCCCCGCCCCTCAGGCCCTTGGGTGCCACACCCATCATTTATACAAAATTGAGTCCCCTTGGCCCAAGGATGCTCCAGACTAAATTAGTATAAAATCCCTTAATCCCTACAGTAGGAGAAGGATTTTAAAGGTTTTACCTATTTCCCCTATTTAGCCCCACCCATCTGCCCCAAGGGACGCCACACCCACCATTTATACAAAATTGAGTCCCCTTAGCCCAAGGAAGCTCCAGCCTAAATTAGAATAAAATCCCTTAATCCCTACGGTAGAAGAAGGATTTTGAAGGTTTTACCTCTATTTCCCCTATTGGGCCCCGCCCCTCTGCCCCCAGGGGGGCCACACCCACCATTTACACAAAATTGAGTTCCCTTGGCCTAAGGATGCTCCAAACCAAATTTAGTCAAAATCTACTTGGCCGTTCAGGACTAGTAGCGTTTTAAAGGAAATGTTGACGGACGGACGACGGACGCTGCGGTATGGCATAAGCTCTCCATGGTCCTTAATAAGAAATTCTTGCAAGTATTGACTATATTTTAACTGTTGAGCTGAATTAAACCTACCCTGACAACATTGCCATAGAGACAGAAAAGATTGAACAGCTTGTCACTGTTGACCTTTTCCATGTTTAGGCCATACACCATCAGGACAGCACCCTGGCTGGAACCTCCTTGGCCTGGTCCACCTGGGTTCATCATACCTTGGTCCTGGTAGCCCCCCTGGCTGTGAGGAGGGCCACGCCCATACCCCCTTGGCTCCTGTGCTGGCTGCAAGAAGAAGGGTTAAATAAATCAATTACTTTTTTAACAAAAGGCTCATGGGCCTTAACGGTCACCTGAGTTATGTAAAAACTGATGTTATCGATGTTGCCAAATGAAAAAGAAATCATTTTGTAACAAAGGTAACTGGAATTACATGTAACGTAAAAGTAGTGTGAAAGAACTGGGTAGTATATGTACTATGTACAAATAGTGGTTCTGTCAGTCAGCGGAGTTATGGTAAAGCACTTTAAGACCCTTCTATCTATGAAGAGTATTTGATTTGACCATATCTGGATCTTGAGAAGAAGATTTTAAAATTTTAGTCAATTTGACCTTTTTTGGCCCCGCCCCTAAGGCTCCTGGGGGCTGGGGACCATATAATTCACTAATGATTGATAGTAAAGTTTACCCCCTCCACAGGGGGAAACGCAAGACCCTAGGATCATGGAATTCACAATTTTGGTAAACACCTTAAGACCCTTCCATCTACGAAGAGTATTTGATTCTACCATATCTGGGTCTTGAGAAGAAGATTTTTGAAATTTCAGTCAATTCGACCCTTTTTGGCCACACCCATCAGCCCCGGGGGGTCAGTCAGGGCTGATATGTACATACTATCAAACTGCTACCTAACACTGATAATGCTAACCTAAATTGAATTACTTCCAATGGANAAGAAGATTTTTGAAATTTTAGTCAATTTGACCCTTTTTGGCCCCGCCCCTCAGGCCCCTGGGGGCTTGGGACTAAACCGGCAACTATTTTTGTTGACCTTTGTCCATGGAAGGTTCCTGCAAAATTTCATTGAAATTGGTTCAGTGTTTTTGGAGAAGAAGTCGAAAATGTAAATTGTTTACGGACGCACGACGGACAAAAGGCGATCGCAATAGGTCACTTGAGACTTTGTCTCAGGTGACCTAAAAATGTTGGAGGGTCATGAAATTCACAATTTTGGTAAATCACCTTAAGACCCTTCCATCTATGAAGAGTATTTGAATCTTCCATATCTGGGTCTTGAGAAGAAGATTTTTGAAATTTCAGTCAATTTGACCCTTTTTGACCCATCAGCCCCTGGGGGTCAGTCAGGGCTGATTTGTGCATATTATCAAACTGCTATCCAATACTGATAATGCTAACCAAATTTGAATTAATTCCAATGGAAATTAAACAAATGTTGGTCAAAAATGAGATTTCCCTATATAAACTATAGTTAAGTTTATCCCCTCCCAAGTGGGAAACGTGAGACCCCAGGGACATGAAATTCAATATTTTGGTAAAGCACCTTAAGACCCTTCCATCTATGAAGAGTATTTGATTTTATCATATCTCGATCTTGAGATTTTTGAAATTTTAGTCAAATTGACCCTTTTTGGCCCTGCCCCTCAGGCCCCATGGGGCTGGGGACCATATAATTCACAAATTTGGTTGACCTTTGGCCATTGAAGGTTTCTGCAAATTTCATTGAAATTGGTTCAGGGGTTTTGGAGAGGAAGTCGAAAATGTAAATTGTTTACAGACGGTCGACGCACGATGCCGGACAAAAAGGCGATCGCAATAGGTCACTTGAGACTTTCTCTCAGGTGACCTAACAAGAGGCCCAATGGGCCTGAATTGCTCACCTGGTATAAATCTCACACTTGAAATCTTAAAAGTGGACTAAAATACAACTACAGGCAGAATATCAGTGTTTGATTAATAAGAACCTATTAAAAGATTTAAACATCCAACGCCCGTGACCTTGAATGTCGAACAAGGACATTAGGTTGAACAGAGTTTATAGACTTTCAACCCAGCTTGCTTCTAGCAAATTATCATCACATCACCCTGGACTTTATACAGAAAAAATCATCAAAAGATTTAAACATATATTGACCCCTGTGACCTTGAATATGGGCGAAGGTCATTTATTTGAACAAACTTTGTAGCCCTTCATTCCAGCATGTTACTGGCCAAATATCATCACCCTAGCCCTCTTGGTTATTCAGAAGAAGATGTTAAAAGATTTTAAAATATTTGTCCCCTGTGACCTTGAAAGCTTTCATTGGCGTTGTTCTCTACATTCGTTTAGTACGTTTACCTGGTTATGACTCTTACTGGAACACTGATGAATTAATATCTTTGAAAGGGTTTACTGTATTAACCCCAAGAGATAGATTCTTAAAATATCTTGTCATTTTTCCACGCCACCGATAACTCACAACATGTTACTAGCCAAATATCATCATTCTAGGCCTTTTTGTTATCCAGAAGAAGTTGTATAAACTGAAAAGTTAACGCTGGATGGACGGACTGACGACAGACGCCGCATCATGGCATAAGGCCCGAAGGCCAAGTGAGCTAAAAAGGTAGTGTTCTAAAGTCAGAATATCTAAATTTTGAAGGGGATGTACACAATCCAGACCAGTGGAGACAATATAAAACTGTGGGGTGTATACCATTATACTAACTGGTTTAGGTGCAAATCTCTCCTGCATCTCATGGCCATAGTGTTGCCTTGAGGGACCGCCATGGGCCCCGTATCCCCCATATGCGTCTCCATGGTCATACATCCCATAGCTGCCGCCTGAACTCATACTCTGGTGGGCATGGCCGTGTCCATGGTCTAGAAAAAAAACACTAATATAAGACTATGTCTTATACAACAAAAAGCTGGCATCTGACTAGCGTTACTGTAGACTTTTCACTTGATCCAATACATTGCAATTTTAAGTACAGTCCAACTTCCATAAGTCAATTTCAAAGGTTCAAATTTCTCTATGTGTCAAAACTTTCGGCAGAGTCCAGATTTTCCCCCCTTATCTAATACTACTGATATTCCATTTATGAACCAAACTTTTATGAGTCAAATTTCTCACTGCTTCGAACTGCAGTCAAGGTTCCATTGAAAATTACAATTATCAATTCGAAGTAAAGAACTACATGTACCTGTACGAGAACATTGAGATCATGCAAACTACCGTATATAAGTAAATAATTTTTTTTTTCTTATTACATTAAATCCAATATTTATATATTTCAAATTGAATATCTTGCCTTGTGTTTGTCACTTAATAATTACACTCTGTCTTATACAGTATATACAGGATCTCGGAAGAAGTTCAACATTCTTAAGACGAAGTCTCAATGTTAGGAATATTTCCAGATGGTCCCCAGTTGACTGTATAAATCACGTTTATATTAATAAGTGAAGCTAAAGATCACTTGTAATAATAATATAGTTATGGACTATCATAACAATAGAATGCATCCATTTCAATACAGTAATATAAGCATAAAAAGATTACAGTTCTTAACATGAGCAACACAGCATGTCCAAGATCAATACTAGAAAGGAGCAAAACAGTATTATCAATCAATGAGCAACACTGTCACCAGTACATGTACATCATTCTTAGAGATCCAATGCCATAGTACCCAAACTGTTCCTAGACTGTAACATGATTATACTGAAGAAGATTGTTGATATTTAAGCCAATTTGACCACTTTGGGGCCTACACCTCAGCTCCTTTGTTTCATAGTAACAAACTGTCATCTTGGGGTTATAATTCCAATTAAGTTTACTTACAAATAAGTTTTATTTTCCTATATAATCGATAAACATGAAGCTTGGGTGTAACAAAATTGACAATTTTGACAAAGCACCTAAAGGACCTTCAAATAATGAAAAGTATTTGCTTCCAATGTATCAGAGTATGGAGAAGATTGGTGAAATTCAAGCCAATTTGATGCATTTGGGCCATGCCCCCTGTGGGTGGGCCGGACTCAAAATGTTCCAGGTGTCAAACTGTCATCTCAGGCTTATAATTGAAATCATGTTTGAATTAATGTATTTCCGATTGAAAATGAACAAAATATACCCAAAAGAATCATTTTCCTATATAAACTATAGAAAATTTAACCCCCTCCCCATGTGCGAATGTGAAGCCCGGGGATAATGAGATGCACAATTTTGACAAAGCGCCTCAAGACTCATCTATCAATAGAGTATTTGTTTTCAGCATAACTGGGTCTTAAGAAAAAGATTGTTGAAATTTAAGCCAATTTGACCACTTTTGGCCCCGCCCTCAGAGCCTCTGGGGGCGGGGACCATCTAATTCACAATTTTGGTACATCTTTGGTCATGGAAGGTTTCTGCAAATTTTCATTGTAATTGGTTCAGGGGTTTGTGAGAAGAAGTCAAAAATGTGAATTGTTTACAGACGGACGAGGGACCACAACGGACAAAAGGCGATTAGAATAGATCACATGAGACTTTATCGCAGGTGACCTTAAAACATGATAGACACAATGCAGTGATACGGACCACGCCGGCAATCCTCGTCGTTGGCGTCATATCCCCCATACGTACCGTAGCCTCCACTTGGACCCATGCCATGAGGGTCTGTAGACAAACACAAACACAATGTTAAACACAATTTACTAACTTGATCAGTGATGCAAAACTTGTCAATAACTGTAATCAAAGCTTTTCTTAGTCATAGAGATGGTAAGAACTTGAGCATATGAGCGATACATACATGTAGGTTCTTATTGGCCACTCAGAGATGCCACTAGTACTTGTGTCAAAGGATCAACCACCTGTCCTGGGTTGTGATATCACAAATTTTACTCTTCCTTTTTCCAAAATATTAAACCACATATCTCATGAGCCATGCCTGTACATATGTATTCCATAACGTTTAGGTCCATGCAATTTTCAAATTAAAACTTCTATTAAAGTCAAATAAACCCGAGATTTATATATTACAGAGATAGGCAACTTGCTCTTTGCCTTACAATTGGTCACGGCAACCAAATGTCATATCGAGAGTTATGTTTCACCTGCACCATATTGGATATACGGTTCGCTGCATTCAATAATACAGTCACGTTCAAAAAATGTAAGATCATGGCTGTGTTTACATATCATTAATGATTCTTGCTACATATCTAATTTCCAATGTCTGTACAATATGATCATGCAAGTTTTTGCGAGATCTGTGCGAGTTGCCAATCTAATGTATATATGTCTCTGTATAAACTAACAAAACGAGCCGCAGTTAGCACTCTATGTTAAATCTCGTTAGTTCACATGGATCTATCATAATGTGTAACAATCCTAAAAGGTACTACCTGGCAACAATAGTTTAAAAAACAGCCATGTGAGGCAGCCAATACAGAGTGCTGTCTAAAAATGTACCCTGAACGTTTTGCTATATCAAGCTATGAAAATACTTCATATTGTACAATGTAAAGGAAATAGAAAGTGCGAACGTCGTAGTTGACTCCGTTTCCGAGATATTGTGATTTATCTGAAAAACAAACCTTTAGCTAAGCTGCGATCGCCTTAATATGGGTAGCCCACATCTGTGACGTAATAAGTTCAACGCTCTCACAATGCAATAGCCCTATAGGAATATACCGTTCGATATGTGAGCTTTTTAGCTACTTATATGATATATTCAGTCGTCACTTACTTGTGTAGATAAAATTCAAAGACTAAATACATATAAATGATTTTTTTACAATTTTAATGATGAAGTGAGTTCCTCCTGGCACAGACGATGTATTACTAATATATACGTCTCTGTTCCTGAGAAGGCAAACAGTGTGTTGGATGCTATCTAAACGAATATTTGTTTTTTTTACATAATTGGTTAATCTAGTGACTGTAAATAATATACCTTTTATTATTAAATTGATCTTTAGAACATTTGATGAACACCTAAAATTGAGTCAAATTGACGTAGGTGCACCGCACCCCTTTCTTTACAATATATATGTAGATATGCGATTGGAATTGACAAAAAATGCACCGGTACAATAATTTATATTCAAAATGAGCAGCAACCCATGGTTTTTTTACTCCTTGTCATAAAACTTGAAACGTTTTTATTCTTTATGCAATCCAAGGAATTTAGCACATAATAAATATACACACAACTTCTAAGAATATTGCAGAGGGAGAACCTGTCAGTTCATAGTCACAGAGATTAGTAATTTATCAATGAACTACCTGATCAGATATATATAATGTGCATACTTTCATCGGTCAAGTGATGCAGTTGTACTGATTGTGGTTTGCATATAATGCGACTCTGTGACAGTATTTACGCATTTCAATTCTTTTTATTTTTCTTGGATTTATCCTTATACCAGAAGCGTAATATATACGTCTCTGCTTATACATTTCCCCGTTATCTCGCCCGAGGACATTGTTGTTAAATTGAACTTGGAAGACACATAATCTACACCAAATGCAATCTATACTAACTTCAGGTACCCCCTTGCCCACCTGCTGACATCCCTTTTATCTCATACCTGTACACAGGTATATAGGTGTGTCTTGGTCCTCCTGCTGTCAGCACTGGACAAAGGTGTTTAGTGTTATTTACCTGTACACAAAGTTCACACCCAAGTATGCTAAGGGATTGGATCAAGATGATTATCATTATTTAACCAAGATGTTAAATTATAACTTGTGTATGCTACATGCATAGGGAGAAACAAAAATATTTGAATCTCATGATCATAATTCAATTATATTTTTGAGATAAATGTAATCATGGAATTAGATAATATAAGTCTGTGATCTGGTTTAGCATCGCATACATAGGTACTGTATTGTATACAATTAAATGAGTAACTGTCTGTATTTTGCTGTTTATTTGAATTGTAGACCTAACATAAGGAAGACACAATGTTGTCAATTTGTCATTAAACGGCGATACTAAAAATATTGACATTTAAAAACAGCAGACACCAACATTGAAGTTATTTTGTAAACATTTTTTTTTTACTAATATATTTCGGTATTTTTGCACCGTAGAGGTACCACAGTATATAACAATATAAATATTTCGGCACAGGAACTGTTCACCAAGTAGATATGTTCACGGACGACATGATCGTATAAGTTTTCAATGGAGAGTAAAGAAAATGATTGCAAACTGAATTTCAAGCTAAAATTAAGAAATATCTTTGATCGACAACATTGAGACTATTTCTAATTAATTTCCCTCTAACTCGTTCATTCGAAAATTTCTCATCAGTGCTCAGAATCAGGATATGCAATGCTACCAGTCTATGTTACCCTATTCAGAGTCGTCAGTTTGGGTTCAATTAAACTCACTGTCTGGAAATTCTGGCAAATTTCATATGGCTGGATACCATCTACACAATTTTATCTTCAGCATAATCTGATTCCTCAAAGCTAAAGAAAAAATATTATTTATTCGCAATCTGACGCTGTTTGACCATGGCTGCTCTCGATAGCGCCTATCACTTCGATGGTGACCTCTACAGGCGTTGAACTTATGACGTCACAGCCAATATGGGTCAATTCGCGAGTTATGATTATGCTAATTAGTAGAAGGACAGGTGAAAATCATACAATTTATACATCAATATCTTGGTATCGGGATGACCAATTTTTATGCTGTTTTTACAACATTTTTGTGTTACGTTTGGATCATATAGAATAATATATTCATTTCTATTATCGTTCAGGGTACACTATAATAAAGTTACATGAAATGGACCAATCAAAAGCAAGACATATATACATAGATATGCTCATTAGGATTTAGATTTAACACCCTTGGGCCACTGTCACCAATTTGATACAGGCTTTGCTTAAAGTTAAAGACTATTTTTTTTACGCCTGAGAATTGAGATTAATAAATATTCAATCCACTCCAATGATATCCATATAAGCACATGTAATTTCAGAAAAGGTATCTAAATCTAAGCGTGCTTTTTTTGTGTGCAGGTGTTACCCTTTTTATCATATGACCAAAGCTACCTAGAGCAACATGCATGTACACCATTGTCTTGATGACAGTCAAATCCTCTGTTGTAAGCGATCTAACAAGCAGTGCTGTTCCCGGATGTAATTGGTACAGTCATGTTATTTGTCAACAACAAAATTCTCTGATCAAATATGCAGCGAAATTCTATCATTTGACACACAACTTTTGCATTCCGTGCCCAACTCTCAACACTCCACACTTTGACTACAAGCTAGTGTATCATGTGTATAAGCCCATATAACCCAAGTTTGTTCATCAGTAACAAGTTTACAGCAACCCGTTGTTTAACAGTCTACACCAATTGATACCCCAGTGCAAGTTAATGGCCACAGCTATAATAAGTCTTTAGTTTCAGTTTGGTCATGATAAGTGGACAATAGGTCAGTTAAATATAAATGTTATATTAAGATTATGAAAAGTTTCAATATTTTTTTATTTTTTTTCAAACAATTAAGACATCTGAAAATTTTAGGCTATACAGTATCCATAGCATGTTTTCATATGTACTACCCATGACGCATCTATGCTTGTGAAAATCTCTGAACTTATTCAGTGGATGATCTGTACAGCAGTGATGACTTGAAAAGAATAGAAGGTTGAATGTACATGTTCTCATGTTGACCTTATATAATTGTGTTTTGAAAGTTCAAAGTCGATAAAAGCAGGCTACTTTTGCCAGCAACCAGCTTTTAATGACAACACAGAGTACCTCAAACCATAGTTCTGCATAACAAGGTGAGCCTGTACTTTTGGTATATAGTAACAAAATTGTGTACAGACAATTCTTCTCCAGCACTGTCTGCCAAAACAAGAGGCCCATGGGCCTTAACGGTCACCTGACATCCGATTCAAATTAGGACCGTCATCCAGGGGCCAATTCATACTTTTCGTCAGTCCGAGTGGCCTTGCTGCATCGTCCATTAATTTTTCCTTGTGAACACAATAACTTCAGTAAATATGAAACGATTTTGATGAAACTTTGTATGCAGCTTTGTATCATTGAGATCTTGGATGAGTTTGAATACCAGACCAATTTGACCATAACTTACATAGTTATTTCCCTTGGTCATTCTATTATTGTTGGACCCTGTGAACACGATAACTGAAATAAATGGGTGTGACTCCTATTTTGACCCAAGGGGTCTGTTTTGAACAAACTTGGTAACTGTATGTCTCCTGTTCTTGGTTAAAAGAAACAAGTAAAAGCGTAAATCAATGATTTATTAAATAAGGCCCAAAATTTTAATAGCACCTTGTTAGTAGCTAAAACAAGAGATCCCAGAGGGATCTTAGTGCCCACCATTGTACCTTAATACTGCTGTGTATGAAAGCCAACCTTCAAAGTGAGTTTGTCATTTCACATATTTACTAGTACAGTACTTAAAAGTGAAAGAAATAGAATCGATCATTGCAATATGAGAAAGATCTGTTTAGTTCTTCTTATAATCCATTTTGTTTTTATGATCAGTCTCAAAATATAACATGCACAACGAGGGATCAAGGAGAACCTACATTTAAAATTTGATAAAGATCCCTCCCGTACTTCCCGAGAAATAGCGATAACAAAATTTCGGTATCAAAATCCAAGATGGCTGCCTGTCGGCCATGTTGTTTATACAATCAGTCTCAAAAGTTGCCCTGCACAGCTAAGGGCCGAGGGGAACCTACATATGAAATTTGAGAAAGATCCCTCTGGTACTTCTTAAGAAATAGCGATAACAAAATTTCGTTATCAAAATCCAAGATGGCTGCCTGTCGGCCATGTTGTTTATTGGAACAGTCTCAAAAGTTGCCCTGCGGACCTAAGGACCAAGGGGAACCTAAATATAAAATTTGAGAAAGATCCCTCTGGTACTTCTTGAGAAATACTGATAACAAGAATTGTTTAAGGACAGACAGCGGACAGCGGACCACGGACCACGGACGCAGGGTGATTGGAATAGCCCACCATCAGATGATGGTGGGCTAAAAAAGGTGTACCACATGAGTTTACATCTATTCTTGTGTAATGCCAATCAACATCACAGGGACAAATAATAATATTATGACAAAGGGCAATGACTCTGCAGGTTACCGTCAAATAATTACCGGACAAAGTTTCATTGAACTCCGTCAACATTTATTCAAGTTATCGTGTTTACAAGGTCCAATAATAATATTATTATAAAGGGCAATAACTCTGTAAGTTACTGTCAAATAATTCCCAGCTTCGAACTCATCCAAGATCTTATTGATATAAGGCTACATACAAAGTTTCATCAAACTTGGTTGATATTTACTCAAGTTATCGTGAACACAAGGTCCAATACAAAATAGTGTAATAATATTATTACAAAGGGCAATTACTCTAAGTTATTGTCGAATAATTCCCATTTTCCAACTCATCCGAGATCTTAATGATGTAAGGCTGCATACAAAGTCAAACTTGGTTGATAATTACTTAAGTTCTCCTGTTCACAAGGTCCAATCATAATATTATTACAAAGGGCAATAACTCTGTAAGTTACTGTCGAATAATTCCCATTTTCCAACTCATCCGGGATCTTAATGATGTAAGGCTGCATACAAAGTCAAACTTGGTTGATAATTACTTAAGTTCTCCTGTTCACAAGTTCCAATCATAATATTATTAAAAAGGGCAATACCTCTGTAAGTTACTGTCGAATAATTCCCATTTTCCAACTCATCCGAGATCTTAATGATGTAAGGCTGCATACAAAGTCAAACTTGGTTGATAATTACTTAAGTTCTCCTGTTCACAAGTTCCAATCATAATATTATTACAAAGGGCAATCACTCTGTAAGTTACTGACGAGGGGTTTCCATTTTCAAACTCGTCTGGGATCTTATTGATATATGGCTGCATACAAAGTTTCATCAAACACGGTTAACATTTACTAAAGTTATTGTGTTCAAAAGGAAAAGTTAACGCACGACGGACAAAAGACTCTCACAATAGGTTACCATGACCTATGGTCAGGTAACCTAAAAAGTCAAACCATGGTTGACCCTGTATTTTAAAACCATGGTTTTCGGAATAATAGGGGCACATCACCGCTAGGTCAAGCAGCTTGATCAAGTTATCCTGAAGTTTCATTGTATTCTGGCATAGTCAGACCATACCAACTGACAAAGTGATTCATGTAACACCCCTCCCTACTCAACTAACTTGGAGGCATAGAGGTAGAGCAGTGACCATGACTTTTGAAGCAGAATTCTCAAATAGTTTGAAGTGGTGCAGTGCATGATGGGTACTGGGAAAAGGGGAGTAACTCCAGGATGTTTTTACCTGATCCTCCTGTAAAAGGAGTAGGGCCACTGCTGTAACGTGGGTTCTGCAGTAGTGGGGCATTCCTCTGTGGAGGCTGGTTCATGTCCTTTCCTGTAAGACAATTAATATGTATACTTTTAAGAATATATACATTAGTTTGTAAGTAATTGTATTAAGAAAACTTTGAAGCCTTGTTCATTTACTTGAATATTCAAGTGAAGTCAAATTTAATCTTGTACATTCTCTTGACTATTCAAGGAAAGTAAAATGTTAGTCTTACTCTTAGTTAGATATATTATATATCTTTTTTAATATTGTAGATAATGTGATCTTGCCAAATTTTCACATAACAAGAGATCCCAGAGGGATCTTAGTGCCCACCATTGTACCATCTTTATTAGTTCTATGTCAGTTCTATCTTTTCTCTATCTGTTTGATCAAGTCATGTAAACAGTAAATGCACCTAGAGGTAACTTTTGATCTAAACTTCATACTGCTATGTATAAAAGACAACCTTCAAGGCGAGTTTGTCGTTTCACATATTTTACTAGTACAGTACTTGATGTGAAAGAAATATAACAGACCATTGCAATATGAGAAAGATCTGTCAAGTACTTCTGGGAAATAGTGATGAAGTTCTTGAAATGCCCAAATCCTAGATGACCGCCTGTGGCAATCTTTATTTCCCAATCAGTTTCAAAATAATACATGCACAATTATGGACCAAGGGGACGCTTTTTGAGAAACGGCGATAACAAACTTGTCAAAATTAAAAATGGCTGCTTGGGGGTCATGTTATTTTTAAGATGGGACTCAATATAAAACATACACAACTAGTGACCAAGGAGAACCTTCTGATGAAATTTGACAAAGATTCTACTTTCTGAGAAACAGCGATAACAAACTTTTACTTTGAGAAAGATCCATTCAATACTTCTTGAGAAATAGAGATAATAAACCTGAACTGTCAAAATCCAAGATGTACACCTGTCAGCCATTTTGTTTATTCGATCAGTCTCAAAAGTAAACATGCACAACTAAAGATCACGGGGAACCTACATATCAAATTTGAGATCCCTCAAGCACTTTCGGAGAAACAGCGATAACAAACTTAAAATGTCAAAATCCAAGATGGCCACCTGTCTGCCATTTTGATTATTCGATCAGCCTCAAAAGTACACATGCACAACAACTGACCAAGGTGGAACTTGCATATGAAATTTAAGAAAGATCCTAAGGCCTCCCGATACTTTCGGAGAAAAGGCAATAACAAGAAATGTTTAAGGACGGACGGGCGACAGATTGACAGTCAGACCGAGGGTGATTTGAATAGCCCACCATCTGATGATGGTGGGCTAAAAATAGAAAGCATGCATATACTGAGTAAACATGAAGCATCAGGAAACAGGAATAGCTCAAAAAGATGAGTGTAAAACCATTCAAGATTCTCAAATATCTTATTAACTTGACAGAGCAACACTTATTCAATTGCTAAAAGAAATGTATGCTAGTAAAGAATAAAATACTGTACATATTAGTTACAGGCTGCTTAAGATACAGAAGCCAAGTGAGTTGGGACAAGGGAAAAGTTGAGATTCAAGGTCATAAATACAGTCTCTAAAGCTCCAAACATCTAGCATATATTTGATTAGCTGGTTATCTATTTTCTTTGTTGAATTATGACCTTGATTCCAAAAGCTAAATACTAATAGCCATATAAAAGGATAGGAGTATCCTCATAGATTAAACCACAAAACAATTATACATATCAATATGAACAACATTAATTTAAAGCAGAATATTTTACATACAAAATGTACAATATCAATCATGAATGTATGTTTTATAATATACCATATTATGTTATATTATTTAGAACTTTAGAACATCACCATTACGAAGATTTTCCAACTACAAGCGCTTTCATCCTCAAAACCAGTTTTTTCACATGGCCTCAGATGGTCATGTTGACATTTTGAGTAGGTGTGGGTAGTCACTCATGCATACAAATGCTGCAAAATCCATCCCAGTGTGAACCAGCATCGCTCCATTTCTCAGGATGATTCTGTCAAGGGACAACCAATCAAAATACATCACAATTTGAATGGAATTGTGTTTTCAAGTCTTGTGTCCTTGTGTCCCTGTGTGTCTGCCGAGTGTTGTCCACTGGTTCTGAGAATGCCTTGTCTATATTTTGCATGTCCGAATTTTCTGAGAATGTTGTTTTGGTTTTGATCGTAAGGATGCTGTTGTTTCTATGTACAATACTGTGCTACTACTACTACCAGCAGTGTAGCCTTGCTCCTTGGTCAGGTCTTGTGTTGTATCACAATGCTGTGGCTGAGAGGAAAATGTGACTGCTGTGTACCGAAATTGTTTATCAAGCCCAAATGTACAGCTGTATGCAAAATAAACAGTGTGAAGGTATAAGGTTCAGGTGAACACATCTGATAAACCCATTTAATTGCAAATAAGAGGAAAACTACTATACAGTGTATGATATATCAGCTTCTCCAAGAGTGATATATAAGAGGGTTGTGGTATTCAAGCAACATAGGTGACTCAACCTACAATTGTATTTACTTTTATAGCTTATGTATATTGTGTAATTATGAATGAGATTGTGAAAATCACCATTTTTTTTAAAGAAGCAGAGTTTAAGATTATAACAACTATGCATATCAACAATGTTTTGCATTAAAAACTATTCACTGATGGTAATATTGCAATCAAAAGAGATATGAAATTGAAAAATATGAATATGTAGGATTTAATGTACAATTAATCAGCAGTGTGACAGTGACACCTAATGGTAAACTTCACCCTATACATGTACAGAACATGTCATATATATATATATATATACATACTGCACTCATATATTAAAAGGAGATTATTGAACAGCCATAATAAACCATTGATGGAAATCACAGCAATTCTTCACATCCACTTAATACTTATTTGAGTACATATACTTTGATTCCTATTTTCAAATGATGTATCAAAGTGGATGGAAATCCTCTATTAAGAAATTACATTGAAGTGTATTTGTACTGTTTGGGACTATACATCCCGCAAGGTATGCTGGCATGGTTACCTCAGTAATGAGTTTCCCATCAATAGTACTTGATCCATAACATGATAAGTATGGATGTTTACCAGTAGCACAACAGTGACGTAATTTAAGACACAGGAGACACATCTAGGTCCACAGCCTAGCTTTAATTTTCATTCAATGTAATGCTGAACATATAATTTTTTCGACAAATTTATTGTTTTGAAATAAATGGTAAAGAAAAAATAACTTGTATTGACAATGTGCATGTACAAATGTGAACAATTTTGTACAGTGGCAAACCGACAGACTTTCCAATTAGACAATTATTTCATCTGCAATGTCATTGTGCAGAGATTTATTGAAATCCTGGTTAAATTATTTCATAAATAATAGCAGATTAAATGTGTACACACTTCAATAGTTCATGTTACCCAGACTACAACATGTATTATGATTAAGGAGTCAAACATACAACTGACAGTATATACAGTATATACTTAATTTTTATTGTTATCTAGGAGTGAATGTAATACTCAAAAGGACTACTGTATATTACATACATTTTTGTCTTATTTTGTTTGATAAATCAAGAACACTTCAATAATTGAATTTTTACCATTATTCCATTACCTGAATTTAGTCTAACATGTTGTGTATCTTCGAGATGACATTGAAAATATTTTCAAGACAAACTGAGAAGTAAATAAACAGAACAAAATGTCTTTTGTACAATATACACATCACTGAATCATGTTAAGGTTTGTAGTATGTCCTTTCCTTTATAATAACAACCCATGGTGAATTTCTTGCTCCTTTGAATTCATTCTGTTTCCTTGTTTCGGCAATATAAGATGTAGTAAAATATAACTTGGCCAATTTGCAATACAGGAAAATTCAACAGAGAATATATGGTGAAACCTGTATTACCTGTAAAATGTACTGAGTGATATATACAACACTGCCATCAGCTTATTATAATCATCGAGGCATTGTATTGCACGACACCTAATTATAAAAGGTGTATGGTGCTAACATTATATGCATGAGAAATTGTACAATGATGAGACTGTTGTGTACATGGTGCACTCTGTACATGTGAGCACACATTGCTATGTAATCGTGGACTTACATCACATGTCTTTGTTTGTACTGTCACTTAGACCAGGCTTCATCACTGTGTAAAACATCATCAGTCACACTGATATGATCATGACAATACATCAAGTTTGTGCACCTTACTATATTCATCTGTTTCCGATGTAGGTGCTTGTATGTATGTTTCTTTGTTGGGATGATTCTTGTCAATCAGAGGGGTTTATAAAAGATCCATGATTTTTGTGGTGAATCAAGATTTTTTTCAAAAGGTCATTGATCTAGTTGACAGCATGTAACAAATCCATAGTTGATGTGTATTTCAAGATAATTTTGTAATAACAGACAAAATATTCAAACAAATCAATGTAATATTAATGTAAATAATAAATAGATAATTTTCAAATCAGTGAACAAAAATAAACAGATGTTACTTACTGATTCTATGAGAAAATTATCAGAAAATCCTTCATCAACTAATGATGCATACAACTTGTAAGATCACAGACCTGATGTATCTGTTATGGATGGTTTATATATACATACTGTAGCTATGCTATAAACTGTCCATGCATCCAAATTACTCATAAAACAAGAGGCCCAATGTGCCTGCATCGCTCACCTGGTATTCATTTCGCACTTGTAACCTTAAAAGTGATCTAAAATATAACTAGACAAAATATCAGTATTTACAACTATGTTATTCAACATTATCAGAACCTGTCAAAAGATTTAAACACATTTGACCCCTGTCACCTTGAAAGTCAAACAAGGTCATTAGGCTGAACAAACTTTATAGCCCCTCATCTAAGCATGCAACTTGCAACCTTTTGTTTATCGAGATTAGGTTTTTTAAATGTTTATACATATTTGACTAAATGTGACCTTGAAAGTTGGTCAAGGTCATTCAAATGAAAAAAAGCTTGATAGATCTTCATCCAAGCTCGCTTCTAACTAAATATCAACATTCTAGGCCTTATGGTTATTCAGAAGTCGTTTAAAGTTTTATACATTTTAACATATCTGACACGTGACCTTAAATATAGGTCAAGGTCATTTATTTGAACAAATTTGGTGGCCCTTCATCCCAGCATGTTACTGGCCAAATAGCATCACCCTAGGCCTCTTGGTTATTCAGAAGAAGTTGTTTAAAGAAGGTCATTCATTTAAACAAACTTGATAGCCCTTTATCTTAGCATGCTACTGGCCTTATATCATTATCCTGCACCATTTGGTTATTCAGAAAAAGTCGTTTCAAATGGTTAACATAGTTGACCTGTGACCTTGAATATAAGTCAAGGTTATTCATTTTTGCAAACTTGGTAGCCCTTGATCCAAGCATGCTAATGGCTAAATATCAACATTCTGGGCCTCATGGTTATTCATAAGATGTCGTTTTAAGATTTTGAAAATATTTAATCCATGTGACCTTGACATTTATTCAAGGTCAAGGTCACAACAAACTTGGTAGCCCTGCATCACATTATGTTACATGCCAAATATCATCATCCTAGGCCTTGTGGTTATTAAGAAGTTGTTTAAAGTAATTTTTTGACGCCGGACGACGCACCACGACATGAGCTCACTCGGACCTTCAGGCCAGGTGTGCTAACAAAAACAAATGAACCTCATAGAACGCAAGTCAAGATGACTCTGTCTATATAATATATATACACCTCAGACTGAAGTCAATTCCTTAACTCCACCATATACATACACAACAGATACAAACTGGCAAGGTTGTAGAAACACTGAAAATGACAGGTTAACCAATACCGTACAACAGATTCAAACTGGCTAGGATGTAGAAACATTGAAAATGTCAGGTTTACCAATACCGTACAACAGATTCAAACTGGCCAGGATGTAGAAACACTGAAAATGTCAGGTTTACCAATACCGTACAACAGATTCAAACCGGCAAGGATGTAGAAACACTGAAAATGTCAGGTTTAGTAAAACTGCACAAGATCCATTATAAACTAGATCACCACTCAACAGAGCATTTGCGAAAAGGAAATTTAACACCGATGACTAAATGACAATGTATAATTTCAAAATAAATTGCAATAATTTAATGAATAGTTTCAACAATGATATTTCTAAATAGAATTTCAAGGAAGTTGTGATATATTCTTGTAACAAAATGTATCAAAATATTTCAAAAGATCAATTGCAGACTGTGGGACTAGTTGAAGTCACAATGAAACATAAACAGATCGAGTGTGATAATATTATACTCTTCATATAATATCATATAATATCTCAATGAAATCTTTGAAAAAAATCATAAAATCTCACTGGGAATAATTAATCTTTTCTTTTTGGCAAATGGAATAAAAATTTGTACAGTGGTAATGAATGAGTCCTTCATTCTAAAACATAATTGTTGACTTATTTTCTAACAACATTCTTGCATACAGTTTTTTTGTTCCAATATGTCCAGGTCCTGCATAAGCTAAAACTGAAATTACAATTTCACAACTCTTCTGACTTTTTTCTATACCAAAAATACAAAATCCCAAAACCAGCAGACAGGGAGGAAGATATTCAACGTTAAGTGACTGAACTAAAGTCCAAAACCAGAAAGTTGCACCAAACATCAGCACAGAACACTTTTACACAGGCTCCAACAAACTGTAAAGGAAGATTCTCCAGCAACACACATTTGCAGATCAAATTTTGATTAACAGGCTTACAATAAAGATGATCAAACTTAAGGAAACGAAATTACCTTCAATACAAATATTATATAAAAACTAACATTATTTTAACAACAATGAAAAGTTCCGTAACCAGACAGAATAATCAGAAACCATACATCCCATACAAAAAAGACTTCAAGGATGCAGTGAACAGTTTATGGGATAGCTATGGTAGAGTGGCAAGTCAGATATATACAGTACCTAGGTTAGGATTGGTGTAGTCCCAGCTATACTCAGGGTCATTCCTCACAACATTCAGTTTGGTAGGCTACAACAGCACAAAGCAAAATTCATGTTATAGGAAAAAAGTTTTATCCAGAAATACTTCCATACAATACTTCGCACTCATAGGTAATATTATCAATGCTTCAAATATACAGTAAAACACCGAACCTGTCTGGACCAGTCAATATTTTGAGGAATACAAAGTATTTGACAAATCTGAGGTTCTTTTGACATCATCATGATTTGATCGAGTGGAACGAAAGACAGAAATATCACGGATAGTAGATGAAAGAAGTAAACAAGAATTCCACGGGAGTGGATGTGTTGCCTCCTCAGCGCTTTTAGTAAGGAAAGTGCTTTGGCTTGAGTTATCGCTTTAACAGATATGCAAAAACGCAGAAAATTGAAACTCTACAGAAAAACCCATAACATATGTTGAACATTATTGCTTCTATCTACCATTACCATACAAAATTTGAAAAGAATTGATTAAACAAGAGGCCCAGCAGGCCTGTATTGCTCACCTGGATAATAAAGCAACCGTGGGAAATTATTCTTATTACATAAAATTCCTCCAATGGAGAAGAAGAAAGATTTTAAAGATTAAAACCTGGAATTTCCCCATTTGGTCCCGCAACTCCCTGCACCCAGAGGGGCTTCACCCTTTATTTATACAAAATTTAGTCCCCTTTGCCCAAGGATGCTTGAGGACAAATTGGGATAAAATCCCTCAATTCCTATGGTAAAAGGATTTCAAAACTTTTTACCTCTATTTCCCCTATTGGACCAAGCAACTCTGCCCACAGTCAAACAAGGTCCAAAACCAACCGTTTATACAAAACTGAGTCCTCTTGGCCCATAAATGCTCCAAACAAAACTGGGATGAAACCCCTTCATCCCTATTGCAGGATTTCAAAGGTTTTTACCTCTATATCCCCTAATTGGCCCCACTCCTCTGCCCCAAGGGGGGCCACACCCACAAAATTGAGTCACCTTGGTCCAAGGATGCTCCAGACCTAATCATGATAAAATCGCTACATCCCTACGGTAGAAGAAGGATTTTAAAGGTTTTACCTCAATGTCCCCTATTGGGCCCGCCCCTTTGCCCCAAGGGGGTCCACACCCACTGTTTATACAAAATTGTGTCCCCTTGGCTTAAGGATGCTCCAGACAAAATAAGGATGAAATTCCTTGTATTCAAGTCTGATTATCTTTAAGATGGTCGACAATCCGCTATGTGATTTCTGCTGTCCATATTGCCATGCCCAGATATAGTTTTATATAAAATTGAATTAACACTTTCGCTAAAACATTGATGTCAAACATATCATCAGGATATAATAAATATGATAATGCAGCTACAACAGGGTAAGTACAGGTACTTAAATGATATTTCTGTTAATTCTGTAACAAGATGCCCAATGGGCCTGCATCGCTCACCTGGTATAAATCTCACACTTGCAACCTTAAAAGTGATCTAAAATAAAGCTACAGGCAAAATATCAGTATTTATGATTAAAAGTCATTCAAAAGAACCTGTTAAAATATTTAACAAGAGGTCCATGGGCCTTAACGGTCACCTGATATATTTATACAGAGAGTTGATTTTGTTTTTAACATGAATAGAAATATTATTCAAAGTGACAAAAAACAATAAAACCACCTTATTCAATATCTAGCATACAGATTTAAGACTAAAAAGTATTTGAAACTAGCACCTCTGATTCTAAACAAGGAAAATGAAGAAATTTTAGCACACCGACTCCTTTGGGCCCCACCCTACAGCCCTTGGGGGTAGGGCTGGCTCAAAATTTTCAAAGTATCAAACTGTCAACTCAAGGTTATAATTCCAATCAAGTTATTAACATGTAATATTCAAAGTATCATTTGCCATTATAAACCATAATAAATTTTGCCCCCCCCCCCCCCCTCCTTCCCCAGGGGGTAAACGTGAGACCCTAGGGTCATAAACCTTAAGACCCTTCCATCTATGAAGAGTATTTGATTCTACCATATCTGGGTCTTGAGAAGAAGATTTTTGAAATTTCAGTAAATTCGACCCTTTTTGGCCCCACCCATCAGCCCCTGGGGGTCAGTCAGGGCTGATATGTGCTTATTATCAAACTGCTACCTAATACTGATAATGCTAACCCAAATTGAATTACTTCCAATGGAAATTAAACAAATGTTGGTCCAAAATGTGATTTCCCGATATAAACTATAGTAAATTTTACCCCCTCCCCAGGGGAAAACGCGAGACCCCAGGGTCAAGAAATTCACAATTTTGGTAAAGCACCTTAAGACCCTTCCATCTATGAAGAGTATTTGATTCTACCATATCTGGGTCTTGAGAAGATTTTTGAAATTTTACTCAATTTGACCCTTTTTGGCCCCGCCCCTCAGGCCCCTGGGGGCTTGGGACTAAACCGACAACTATTTTTGTTGACCTTTGTCCATGGAAGGTTCCTATAAAATTTCATTGAAATTGGTTCAATGGTTTTGGAGAAGTCGAAAATGTAAATTGTTTACGGACGGACGACGGACGACGACGGACAAAAGGCGATCGCAATAGGTCACTTGAGACTTATGACCTTGCAAGTGGGTCAAGGTCATTCATTTGAACAAATTTGGTAGCCCTTCATCTCAGCATGCTACTGGCCAAATATCATCACCTTTAGGTTATTGAGAATATTGACGCCGGACGGCCGGACGACGCACCACAGCATAAACTCACTTGGCCCTTCGGGTGAGCTAAAAATGACTTATATTGTGAATGATGGGACAAAAAACAACTTGCATCCTAAATATTTGTGTACAAACCAACCTTGGCAAATTCAATCTTCAGAGTACAGCAGCCAGAGTAGACGTCCGCTCCATTTAATGCTTCCTTTGCCCTCTTAGCACAGGGAGTATTTTCAAATGTAATATCATTAAGGAATTATCATGATTGTAGAACATTTATGAAGAAACAAACAGTAATAAATTATTGTATCCTTAAGGATCCCTGTTTCACTTACTGCCAAGAAACTGTTTCAGGCATCACTATAGCTTTGATAAATCATTTCTCAAAAGAAAACCATACTTTGCGGGACTATTATGAAATGTAATAAAGATGAAACTAGAACTTTGACCGAAAGGCCAAGTAATATAAGGTAAAGCATTGTAAAGCACTCTAGTCTCCCACCAGTTATGATTTCTTTATTCACCGAGCTGTACACTTATTTAAGTATATAGGTCACTGACATCCTTCCTGTACTCCCTCCCGATGCCAAAACATACTTGCAAACCAAATCTTGTTAGCCCAGATGAACTAGTTTTGCTGAAATTGTCCTAGGGTTGTCAGTACAAAGACTTTTAACAAAAGTCCATAACTGCTTAAAAAGGGTCGAAATGAAGAAATACTACCCTAATGATCGCAATAGGGGATAATTACCATATCTGTTAACTTTCATTGAAATTGGCACAGTATTTTAGGCGGCAGACAAAGGTTTTTTTCCAACAAAGGGCCACAACCTCTTTTAAAAGGGTCGGGAAGAAAAAGTACCACTTGGATGCACAACAATAGGGGGCAGTTACCATATCTGTAAACTTTGAAATTGGCCCAGTAGATAAGGAGAATTTGTCAGAAAAAGATTTTTCAACAAAGGGCCATAAATTCATAAAAAAGGGTTGGAAAAAAAATATATGGGGTAGGTATCATATCTGAAAACTTCTGTGGAAATTGGCCGCATAGTTTTGGAGGAATTGTGTGGACAAATGTTTTTCAACAAAGGGCCATTACTCCATAAAAAAGGGGTCAGATGGAACAAATAAAACCTATCTGAAAACTTTCATTGAAATTGGCACAGTAGTTTTGGAGAAGTTGTCGGGTCAAGTATGTTACAACAAAGGGCCATAACTTTGTTAACAAGAGTACCGCGGGGCGGAATAAAAAGCGCCCATCGAATGCCATAAAGTGTTATATACTTTCTTACATTGAAATAAGATCTGCATCATTCTAAGAGTGGTTAGCTGATATGCTATAAAAAATGCAGGAGAAAATCTTCAGACAAAAAATAAAATACTGAAATGAACAAAAGGCAATAAATTTTGCAAAAATCGTTGAATCAAATTCTTTTAAGGGAGACACAACTTCATATCATGATTATAAAGTATACCAAGTTTCAAAGAGATCCGTGGAAAAATGTAGGAGGAGATTTCCAGACAAAAATTCAAATACTGAAATGAACAAAGGGCAATAACTTTTGGAAAAAGTTGTTGAATCCAAATTCTTTTAAGGGAGACATAACTTCTTATCAAGATTATAATGTATACCAAGTTTCAAAGAGATCGGTCGAAAAATGTAGGAGGAGATTGCCGGACAAAAATCAAATACTGAAATGAACAAAGGGCAATAACTTTTGGAAAAATTGACGAATCAAAATTCTTTTAAGGGAAACAACTTCATATCATGATTATCATGTATACCAAATTTCAAAGAGATCGGTCGAAAAATGTAGGAGGAGATTGCCGGACAAAAATCAAATACTGAAATGAACAAAGGGCAATAACTTTTGGAAAAATGGTCGAATCAAATTTCTTTTAAGTGAGACACAACTTCATATCATGATTATAATGTATACCAAGTTTCAAAAGGATCAGTCGAAAATGTAGGAGGAGATTACCGGACAAACAAAGTTCACGTCGGACGGACAACGCCATACCATAATACTACCGTTAAATTTGAATCAAAATTCTTTTAAGGAAGACACAACTTCATATCAAGATTATAATGTATACCAAGTTTCAAAGAGATCGGTCGAAAAATGTAGGAGGTGATTGCCGGACAAAAATCAAATACTGAAAAGAACAAAGGGCAATTACTTTTTGAAAAATTGTCAAATCAAAATTCTTTTAAGGGAGACACAACTTAATATCATGATTATCATGTATACCTAGTTTCAAATAGATCAGTCGAAAAATGTAGGAGGAGATTACTGGACAAACAAAGTTTACGCCGGACGGACAGACAACGCCATACCATAATACTACCGTTAAATTTCACGGTCATATAAAAAGGGTCAGAATGAAAAAATTATACCTGGATGCACAACTTCAGGTGGTAGTCATCATATCTGTCAAGTTTTCTTTGAAATTGGTCAATTACTTTAGAAAGATTTGTCTGGACAAACTTTTTCTATGGACAGACAAGCTGATTCCAGTATACCCCCTTACTTCATTGCAGGGGATATAATAAACTAAAGATTATCAACAAGACTGGTCTGAGTGCAAAATTCATCAGGCCCAGACCAGGTTCGAACCCTGGACTTCAGACTCTTAATATATTACGGCCCTAAACAACTGAGCTACCTCGTCAAATGAAGTGTCCTGGCCAACCTTTAGTCACCTCTAAAAGGAAATTAAGGGTAGATTACTGTATACATGAAAATGAACAGTGCAGTGGGATATGGATCCTTAATTGTTATCCACTTCAGGACATTTAAACAGTCAATTGCAAAACAAATAGGATAAATTAAGTAAGCCTTCAATATATAGTGTTGCTCAGAATTGGATTACAATGTTGTTGTAGTAGTTATTCTTCTAGCTATACATACATAATTCTGTACATATACAGAACATGATTATACTGTACATAATTCTGTACATATACAGAACATGATTATACTGTACATAATTCAGGCCTCTTTGAAAATGTATTGGGTCATTAAAAAGCCAGTATTCTAAGCTATAAATTACTCAACCAGCAAAGTAAGTATCACTTCTAATGAGTTTAGCTGATCAGACAAGGATATTCAACCATAGCCTGTACACCATGCTTCTTAAAGATGACAATCCTCTGGACTTCTCCGTAGGGACTGCAGATGGTGTGCATCACATCCTGTAAATGAAGTCCTAGGTTATCCTTTGTTTAAGAACTTTTTGATGAAGATTAATTATATGAAAATCTTATTTTAATCATCAGTTTTCAGCATAGAATGCTATATTTTGAAAACAATTATAACAGGGGGTAAAAGGTAGTCCAATCAGATGGATTTATTTACAACAAAAATACTTTTCCATTAAAACATGGTAAAAACAACAACACAAATCATGAAAATAAATAGAGTGACTACGTAGAATTATTTTATAGCAGAAGCAAGTCCAACTATTGACACCTATCAGTGGTATAAAAATCGAATAAAAGTATAAAATAGCTAGGCATCAAATACCTCTGGTACTCAAATCTCACAGTATAAGTATAATAGCTAGGCATCACATACCACTGGTACTCAAATCTCTCAGTATATGTATAATAGCTAGGCATCACTTACAACTGGTACTCAAATCTCACAGTATATGTATAATAGATAGGCATCACTTACCGCTGGTACTCAAATCTCATGGTTTATGTATAATAGCTAGGCATCACTTACCACTGGTACTCAAATCTCACAGTATATGTATAATAGATAGGCATCACCTACCTCTGGTACTCAAATCTCTCAGTGTATGTATAATAGCTAGGCATCACTTCCCACTGGTACTCAAATCTCTCAGTATATGTATAATAGCTAGGCATCACTTTCAACTGGTACTCAAATCTCACAGTATATGTATAATAGCTAGGCATCACCTACCTCTGGTACTCAAATCTCACAGTATATGGATAATAGCTAGGCATCACTTACCACTGGTACTCAAATCTCTCAGTATATGTGTAATAGCTAGGCATCAAATACCTCTGGTACTCAAATCTCACAGTATATGTATAATAGCTAGGCATCACTTACCACTGGTACTCAAATCTCACAGTATATGTATAATAGATAGGCATCACTTACCGCTGGTACTCAAATCTCACAGTATATGTATAATAGCTAGGCATCACTTACCTCTGGTACTCACATCTCACAGTATATGGATAATAGCTAGGCATCTCTTACCACTGGTACTAAAATCTCACAGTATACGTATAATAGCCAGGCATCACTTACCACTGGTACTAAAATCTCACAGTATAAGTATAATAGCTAGGCATAACCTATCTCTGGTACTCAAATCTCGCAGTAGATGTATAATAGCTAGACATCACTTATCACTGGTACTCAAGTCTCACAGTATATGTGTAATAGCTAGGCATCAAATTCCTCTGGTACTCAAACCTCACAGTATATGTATGATAGCTAGGCATCACTTACCTCTGTTACTCAAATCTCACAGTCTATGTATAATAGATAGGTATCACTTACCACTTGTACTCAAATCTCACCGTATATGTATAATAGTTAGGCATCACCTACCTCTGGCACTCAAATCTCACAGAATATGTATAATAGCTAGATATCACTTACCACTGGTAGTCAAATCTCACAGTATAAGTATAATAGCTAGGCGTCACTTACCGCGGGTACTCAAATCTCACCGTATATGTATAATAGATAGGTATCACTTACCACTGGTACTCAAATCTCACAGTATATGTATAAAAAAAGCCCAAGGCATCATTTACCTCTGGTACTCAAATCTCACAGTATATGTATAATAGATAGGCATCACTTACCGCTGGTACTTAAATCTCACAGTATATGTATAAAAGCCCTAGGCATCACTTACCTCTGGTACTCAAATCTCTCAGTATATGTATAATAGCTAGGCATCACTTATCACTGGTACTCAAATCTCACAGTATATGTATAAAAGCCCAAGGCATCATTTACCGCTGGTACTCAAATCTCACAGTATATGTATAATAGCCCTAGGCATCACCTACCTCTGGTACTCAAATCTTACAGTATATGTATAATAGCTAGGCATCACTTATCACTGGTACTCAAATCTCACAGTATATGTATAAAAGATAGGCATCATTTACCTCTGGTACCCAAATCTCACAGTATATGTATAATAGCCCTAGGCATCAAATACCTCTGGTACTCAAATCTCACAGTATATGTATAAAAGATAGGCATCATTTACCTCTGGTACACAAATCTCACAGTATATGTATAATAGCTAGGTATCACTTACCACTGGTACTCAAGTCTCACAGTATACGTATAATAGCTAGGCATCACTTACCACTGGTACTCAAATCTCTCAGTATATGTATAATAGCTAGGCATCACTTACCACTGGTACTCAAATCTCCCAGTATATGTATAATAGCTAGGTATCACTTACCACTGGTACTCAAATCTCACAGTATATGTCTAATAGCTAGGCATCACTTTCCACTGGTACTCAAATCTCACGATAGAACTTTATTTTACTTACCACTGTCATAGGGTACTCTGGTCTCAGGATAGTAAACAGTAGGATATGATTTCCAATCCTATTGTCATCAGGCCCACTGTAAATACACAGCAGCAATCGTTTTAGTAAACTGCACACTCATAATTTACATTATATTTGCTATTATTAATTTAGTTTTTAATTTTTCAAATATCCCCCGAAAATAAATTGTGATATATTTTGATAAAGCAGCAACTTAACCTGAGAATGTGTTGGTTGTACTGCTCTAATTCCGTCCATTACAATGTTCATCTTTAATCTCACCATAACATTGATAAAACATGTATAACCAGAGTACCGCGGGGCTGAACAATATACCCCTGTCGAATGCCATATAGTGTTATATACTTTCTTACATTGAATTAAGATCTGCATCATTCTAAGAGTGGTTAGCTGACATGCTATAAACAAGAGGCCCAATGGGCCTGCATTGCTCACCTGGTATTAATCTCACACTTGTAATCTTAAAAGTGGACTAAAATACAGCTACAGGCAGAATATCATTGTTTGATTCACAAGAACCTATTAAAGGATTTCAACATGAAGCCTGTGAATGTCGAACAAGGACATTAGGTTGAAAGTGGGTTAAGGTCATTCATTTGAACAAACTTGGTAGCCCTTCATCCCAGCATGCTACAGGCCCAATATCAGTACCCTTGGCCTTTTGGTTATTGAGAAGAAGTCGTTTTTAGATTTTAAGACATCTGACCTCTGACCCCAGTGACCTTGATAGTGATGCAAGGTCATTCATCCCTGCATGCTACAGGCCCAAAATCAGTACCCTGGGCCTTTTGGTTATTAAGAAGAAGTGGTTTGAACATTTAAAGACATTTGACCCCTGTGACCTTCAAAGTTGGTCAAGGTCATTCATTTTAACAAACTTGGTAGCCTTTCATCACAGCATGCTACTGGCCAAATAGCATCATCCTAGGGTTTTCGGTTATTGAGAAGAAGTTGTTTAAAGGTTTTTAACATATTTGACCCCTGTGACCTTAAATATATATAAAAATCCTTCATTTGAACAAACTTGGTAGCCCTTCATCCTAGCATGTTACTGGCCAAATATCACTATCGTAGGTCTCGTAGTTATTCAGAAGAAGTTGTTCAAAGACTTTTTAAGACAATTGACCCATGTGACCTTGAAAGTGGATGAAAGACATTCATTTCAACAAACTTGGAACCCCTTCATCACAGCATGCTACGTATATATATATACAGGCCCAATAGCTGTACCCTGGGTCTTTTGGTTATTGAGAAGAAGTTGTTTGAAGATTTAAGACATTTGACCCCTGTGACCTTCAAAGTTGGTCAAGGTCATTCATTTGAACACACTTGGTAGCCCTTCATCATAGCCTGTTACTGGCCAAATAGCATCATCCTAGGGTTTTCGGTTATCGAGGAGAAGTTGTTGAAAGGTTTTTTACCATATTTGACCCCTGTGACCTTGAATATATATAAAAGTAATTAATTTGAACAAATTTGGTAGCCCTTCATCCTAGCATGTTACTGGCCAAATATCATTATCCTAGGCCTCATATAGTTATTGAGAAGTTGTTTAAAGATTTTTTAAGACAATTGACCCCTGTGACCTTGAATATAAGTCAAGGTCATTCATTTGAACAAACTTAGTAGCCCTTTATCCCAGCATGCTTCTGGCCAAATATCATCATCATAGACCTATTGGTCATTGAGAAGAAATTGTTTGAAGTAAAATATTGATGACGGACGGACGGACAACACCACACCATAATTCGCCGTCAAATTTGATGGTCGTATAAAAATCATATCTTCAGTTTCCTTTTACTATTTATTTCGGCTTTTTTCCTTTTTCTTTTAATTTTGGCTTTTTATGATTTCCTCTCAGCCTTTAACTTTCCAAAAAATAATCGTTCATTTGTGCTTAACAAGAGCTAAAACATTTCGGCCTTCGTCATATATATACTTTCTTTCCCTCATGACATATTTTGTTATTAAATTTTTAAATGAATATATGGAGTTAAATGCAAAATCAGATAATAAAGGAATGGTTAGGGACATATATTTATCACAGATACAGGAATATTTCAATGTTATTTCAAACATTTTCTTTATTCTTATTTTGTTTTTTTCAAAATATATGGAGACACTTGTCAGTGTTTTGTAGATGTTACATTTTTATGAGACAGATTTGACCAAAAATATTGAATTTAACATTATCTAAGAAAGCATTATTCTTATTTTTTATTTAATTTGCACCAGTATAAGGCAGGTGACAGTATTGTACCTCATGTAAATAACCTCTTTCATAATTCATAGTGCTCTATATTAGTAAGTTTGAGTATAGTTTTTTCCCTATTGATATGCGAGTTCCTTTATCCAACTAACAACTTTGTAATGTACTGATTAAGTTTCATTATTTAATATATTTTAAAATATATTTGAATACATCAGAGTATTAAGAAGTACTATTTTTCCAATACATGATATAGTGAAATTTATGTAGTTTTCTTTCACACTGATGATGATGATGATGATGATGATATAATTCTTTTGAACCTTATGTTTTATAAAAATCGTAACTTTTTTCCTAGGTAAAATATCTCAGGTAAATATAATACATTTATGATACAAACTATAATTACCCCCCCTTTGATGTTTCTACCTATTGTCATATATATATACATGCCAGAATTCATGGAGACCAATCTGAGTTTTACAATCATTTTAAGGTAATTGAGGTGAAAATGAGGGAGGTTTTATTCTCTATCTTAATCATCTAAATTCATGAAATAAAGCATTTAATCTTTAAGTAAGGAACTTTGGCAGATTTTTTTGTATATATTGAATATGATTATATACACAATGTAAATATAGCACAAAGTTAACAAAACAAAATATCACATAGTAGAGATAAACTGTAGAAGCTGATTTTACTTGAACTTTCGAAATTTAGTTGGACAGGCCTCTTTTCACAGCAGCCACAGTACTACTGATGTTCAGTTTAAACTTTGAACTATTTTTTTGGATGGGTTTGTAAAAATAAGGATAAGAGTTGTCTATGTTCATTTACATTTGAACTTCTTGATAATGTTACAGAATGCTGAAACATGCATTTAACAAGAGGTCAGCAATGTGGTAGTGAGTGCTTGGCCTGGCTTTTATGTATATCATTTGAAGCTGTCATGATCAATGTGTTACACGTTTGACCGTAAACAAGTAGCAATACTGTTTACAAAAAGTTCGCATTACTAGAAGCAAGATCATTATTTTCTTTCTACACTCTCAAAAGTAATTTTCTCCTGTTTAGTAATTTTACATTAGAGTTTTCCTCGCAATTGTTTTCCTGTGAATGCCTAGCCAACTGAACTGCTAAGATCCTTAAAGTTGTAAATATTAGCTCAAAACAAAAATATCAGGGGTGGCTGAACTTGCCCTGGTCTCCCGTATGTCGATTTTTGTATCATTGATGATTGGTAAAATGTATTCACTATATAATTTTTACATCAATGACACCATTTTCTTCCAGTAAAAGCTAAAGTAGATATTAGTTCTTGTGCGTATATGCCAGAATTCTTGGAGACCAATCTGAGAGTTTTACACTCATTTTAAGGGAATTGAGGTGAAAATAAGGGAGGTTTTATTCGCTGCGTTTTTCACGGCAAAAAGACTATCTTACTCAACTAAATTAATGAAATAAAGCACAAGATCTTTCAGTAAGGAACTTTTAAACTTTGGCAGGTGTTTTTTTTGTATACATTGAATATGATTATATACATTTAATAGTACAAAATTAACAAAACAAAATATCACACTGCAGATTTAACTTTAAATTTCGAAATTTAGTTGGACAGGCCTCTATTCACAGCAGCCACAGTACTACTGATGATCAGTTTAAACTTTGAACTATTTATTTGGATGGGTTTGTAAAAATAAGGATAATAGTTGTCTGTGTTCATTAACATTTGAACTTCTTGATAATGTAACAGAATGTTGAAACATGCATTTAACAAGAGGACAGAAATAATCAGCTGTGAAAGTGAAGAAAACTGTGTTCAGTATTTGAACTTTTAAATTACATATTTCAGCATTCAGAACAAAGACTTTTTCTATCTTCTTCATGACATGCCCCTTATATATTTACCGGTCATTCTCTTTACTTTCGTAGTGAAATTGTATTTGTAAATATCAAAGTTTCTAGCAATGAACTAACCTTACAAACATGACAGAAAACATGTTTTGTGCTTAATCTACTGACAGTGCGAGGTATCAACTTCACAGGAAATTTTGATGCTGAAGCTGACACTGTCGCGTAGTGGTTAAGACTAAGAATGTCAGGCATTCTGTAGTATCACAGAGATTTATGGCAACAATAAGAAAAGATCACACTAAATCTTTAATATGAATTTGTTTTAATTGTTCAGATAGATTACTTATTGTAAAAGACACCAAAATCAACTCACAATTTCAAAATCACATGACCGCTACTCGAGAGCTCTCGTGATTTATCGCTGAAAACATTGTGGAATCTTGTAAGACTTCGAGTAAACAACAGGAAAATGATTCACCGATCGATCATTAAAAAAACGTGAGGGTTTGAGGACTTTCCGTAAATTCATATCCCACGCCGTGAGACTTTATCGGAGGTGAAAATCCTTGAGATGTTGCCTCACCCCGTGAGTTCTGGCATGTATGTATTGTTCTAAAGATGTATGCGTTCAGGGAACAATCCAACCAGACCTATTTCTTATTGTCCAGGTGTTTCACACGGACAACTTACCTTAGTAAAAAATCCATTCACGGCAGAAAAAAATATCATAATGGTTTCTGAGTTTATTCTGGTGATTAGAATGAGTGAAAAATACTCTTTCATGCCCAATGGTGTAGGATAGGAAAATTCCACCTTCTGGATTTTCAAATTCAGCAAAACACTCGGTAAAGCCTCAGGTTTTACCATATTTGAAAAAACCCTCGGGTGGAATTTCCCTATTCTACACCCCTGTGAATGAAAGATTCTTATAATCCTGTTTTCAGTGCTTTAATGTAAGTTCCCAACTAAATCAAAATTTACCTCAATCCCATTAAAACAATCATTTAAAACTTACACATGTAAAACTAATAGAATATGAAACAACCCAGTTTGGTCTTATTTACTGTCATAATTTGTTAGTGTTGAAGTTTGTTGTTGCAGGGAAAACACACACATGTGAAAGACAATAACTGATACAGACCCTGGTCTCTGGATACGCTGGCTGGTGGAGAAGTTGAACAAGGCCACCTGGGACCGTACATAGATAGCGTTGTTCTGTAAAATAAAGTCAACAAGTTACAATTGAAGCATTCTGGCTATTGCTTCAACACAACTCATAGCAGGTTATTTGCATTTATTGAGGATCACAGAAATTGGTGTAGATATTTGTTAGTCATTTGTGCATATTTTATACCACTATATTTTTATATTGAAAATGTATTACTTTATTTAGGATGCTACAGACCAAATTCAGTCAAAATTCACAGAGCGATTCATGAGTAGTAGCTGTCTGTCGGACAACTTGGTTTTGTGATGAGTCCAAAACAAGAAGTCCAGAATATCTGAATATTTAAGCAGTCATAGTAAAAATATTCTCATTAAACATTATGCTGTACTACAAATATTTCACTCGCAAACTGTCGGCTCAATCTGTTGAAACTACCAGCCAAATATTATTATATGATTCTATGCTTTTTGGTTCTTCTTAAGGTAATAGGATTGTGTCACCATTTCTCAGTAGAATTTCTTCCAGTTTTGTAGTTATATTGCGTTGAAGTAAAGAAAATTTTCTGCCACAAAAAAAATATAGGTTGTCAGAATTTAAAGGATTTGAAATGAAAATTTATGTAAAAAGGAGTGATTTTTGAAAAAAAAATGAAAGACACAATTTTAGGCAAAATAATGTCAATAAAAATGATACTGACATAGATTAGTATTGCATTAATGTATATCAATTTAATAAATGCTGTAATTGTGTAAAATTAATTATCTATAAACGTTTAAAAATTGACATTTTATAATAAAACCATGTACATATAGTAATTGCATGTAAAGAGTTATCTTTCTTGTAAAAACTTCACAGTAGTGAAATAGGTAGCCGGGTTCCTGAAGTACAGAAAAATGGACACATGGGACTCATTGATAAAAAACCAACTGAATTAATGCCTGGATTGCTTTGAAATACTTTAATATTGAGAGAAAACACTGTTCTGTCAATAATAAACAAGCAATATTTATCAGTTTAATATGAAACATCAGAATTTGCGGAAATTGTAATACTGTCTCCCTACATTGGATTTTCAGCTAGGGATGCACTTCCTATTTCCGTTTATCAATACACTCCTATGACCTTAAGAAGTTGTTTGATGTATTAAATCCCTGTGACATAAGGAGATCTAGGTTATTTTCATTTTCAAACTTTGTCAGGAAGCTACCAGCTAAATATTATAAAACAATGCTCTAAGATTATTCAGAAGAAGTTATTTAACTGTTTGACATATTTGTGTGACCTTGTAGGTAGGTCAAGGTCATTTTCTTTTTTACACTTTGTCTGACTCTATCACAGGAAGAAACCAGCAAAATATAAAGATTCTATACTTTTCAGTTCTTCAGAAGAAGTCATTGGAAGTGTTTGACAAATTTTATCCCCAAGACGATCATTTTCATTCTCAAACTATGTTGAGCTCTATCACAGGAAACCACCAGCCAAATATGAAGATTCTATACCTCTCAGTTCTTCAGCAGAAGTTGTTTGAAGTGTTTCATAGGGCTGTAACGATACACCTATGCCACGATACGATACGTATCACGATATCTACCCACGATACGATACATTTTGATACGGTACAGGATGACGAAATGTTATGCTTCCTCTTCAAATGCGTCGCCATGTTTGATGTGTTCCCCAACTTGTAACTTAAAGCTCAAAATATATGCGGCAAATGGAGAGTGCTGCTACATTGATTGTACATTATGGAAAGGGACACCACTGCAGAATTAATTATTGAAATATAAATTAATTTACTTGATTTTTCAAATGTGCATTACTTGAAAAATATATGTTATATGTGAATGAAAGTTATATGAAAATTGTTTGTTATTGCCTCTAGTTTACATTAACGTTTTCAATTCGAAAGTTGCTTCAGTGTTTACCTGTACAGGTGTTAATAAAGATAAAAAAGGTGAAACTATTTTAATTAATCGGATTTAAGCACCAGAAAGATAATTTTAAAATTATTTTTGTCGGCAAATGTGATTGGCAAATGATAACAGAGATTCTAAATTTCATTTATGACATAAGACGCTGTACATTTACACGGAGATTCTCAGGTAAAAAGGTCAGGTATTTCATCAAGAATTGCATGTGATTTGCTACAGGTTTCAAGTCGTCATTCAATATATTTACTGTCACAGTCGGCATATAGATATATATTGATATATATTAGCTACGGTCTAGTTTATGATTAAACCATCGATATATAGTTTGAAGAAATCAATCGGCTTAAAACGTATTAATGTCAATGTTCAAATCGGCCTCACCTTCAGACGACATGTGCGCCTTGGTCAGCCGATATTTTCCTGTTTGCATAGGGCACAAAATTAAAGCCGTTTATTGGAAAGTTACAAATTATGTTAAACCGTAGTATTTCCACATCAACCGTGTCAAACCCTTCAAAACCTTTATTATCATCGTATGTGACGCTGGAGAATGAATGTTTACGTTACACATGTGTGGTTAAATTCCGAAAGTCAGGTAATACTAAAAACAGAACTGAACCAAAACACGGAAAAATATACCGTAAACCGAACCGAAGCAATTTAGCGCTGTTTTCGGTGCACCGCGGTGTATCGTTACAGCCCTAGTGTTTCACATATTTGATCGCTGTGACCTTGAAAGGTCAAGGTCATTTTTATTCTCAAACTTTGTCAGTTCTATCTCAGAAAGCTACCAGCCAAATATGAAGATTCTATACCTTTCAGTTCCTCAGAAGAAGTCGTTTGAAGTGTTTGACCCATATGACCCCTGTGACCTTGAAAGTTGGTCAAGGTTAGAGCTGTCACGATACACCTGACCCACGATTCGAATATTTCGATTTGATACATAAAAAATATAAAATATAAACAAAATGAGATATATAAGCCGTCGATACACGGAAACCCAGTGTTTCCACTTTTGATTTGAAGCTTTCCGGAGCATCACAAATTTTCATTTCCTTATGGCGGTCTGCCATTTTGTTATGAATGCTTTGTGAAAATTGCATCCTCGCAGCCGATTGGTTGAGGGTTAAGAGATCAGCCAATGATTGAACGTCTCACAAATGTTTCGGCTGAAGCGGCATACACTAATATTCAGATCATGACGCATCGAAAATACGGAAAAATATATCGTGAATCGAATCGAACATTAATAATTGCGGTACAAGTGCATCGCGGTGAGTTGTGACACCTCTAGTCAAGGTCATTTTCGTCCTCAAACCTTGTCAGGCTCCTACCAACGAAGCTTTCAGCAAAACATCACGAATCTAGGCCTGTCCGTTCTTCAGAAGAAGTTGTTTAGAGGAAAAGTTGATGGACGACAACAGACGCAACTTCGGGCAGGTGAGCTAACAATAGGTATTTGCACCCGATGGTGGGAAGCCTAAACATATCTATTAATTTCAATTGTTCACTTTGAAATTTTAAACTCTTGAGAGTTAATATACCCTATACAATAGAGTACTTACTTCAGAGTTAATATACCCTATATAATAGTGTACTTACCTCAGAGTTAATATATCCTATATAATAGTTTACTTACTTCAGAGTTAATATACCACATATAATAGTGTACTTACTTCAGAGTTAATATACCCTATATAATAGTGTACTTACTTCAGAGTTAATATACCCAATATAATAGTTTACTAACTTCAGAGTTAATATACCCTATATAAAAGTGTACTTACCTCAGAGTTAATATACCCTATATAATAGTGTACTTACTTCAGAGTTAATATACCCTATATAATAGTGTACTTACTTCAGAGTTAATATACCCAATATAATAGCATACTTACTTCAGATTTAATATACTCTATATAAAAGCGTACTTCCTTCAGAGTTAATATACCCTATATAATAGCGTACTTACTTCAGAGTTAATATACCCAATATAATAGTGTACTTACTTCAGAGTTAATATACCCTATATAATAGCGTACTTACTTCAGAGTTAATATACCCTATATATTAGTGTACTTTCTTCAGAGTTACCCTTTGGCCACATGCAAGCCAATACACTTGAACACTCTGTACTGATAGTGCCAAGTTACATTGTTGCAATGCAACCTGCTGCACTGACTGAAATGTGTATACGCCATCTCAATGGCAGTTTTAATTTTGAGAAATTAAGTTTTGTTTTGATTTGTTTTTCTAACCTTAATTTTGAAGCTGAAATAGTTGTTTTAAGCATTTTCAGTAAGTTAAAATTATGTTCAGAATTTCTTAAATTTTAATTCAGTGCTATTTTCCTAATAAAAACATCAACACATAACCATGAAATCAGCTGTATGTATATCAGGATAGACACATTCTAAAATTTTTCATTTTGCTTTAATTATGATTTAATGAAATGACGTAAACAATGATATTATCACTTCCAAATGATAAAACAAATCAAATTTCCAAAATTCTCACAAGAAGTTTTAAAATACAGTGTATATTTAGGCCTATATAAAAGCTTTTATTGCGGCGAATTTGTATCCGACCGTTTTGGGTCAAATCTATTTTCTTTTTTCAAACGCCAGCGAGCGTAAAATTGTTTGTATGTCTCGAGCTATGGTGGTGAACTGATTTTTATTGAAGAAAAGATAGAAATAATCAACGGGACCTGCAGTATCAACAACAACATTTTTCTGGAAGTATTAGCCCCGTTTTTCTAACAAAATCATTAAAATTGATCGGTGAAAAATCTCGAGACCATTCAGTGTCGTCGTGACCTAATGCCGTAATGGCGACGGCACACCCGGTCGCTGTTCATCTTTTACATAATCATTTACGGACTTATTTCTGATGACAGTTCATTCAAAAACATCGTTAAGATCGATGTCTGACTCAATGTCATCAGGGCTGAAACCATTAAACTATTAATCATCCTCCTCCTTCTCAAAAATGTCCCGTAACATAGTTGTGACAGTCGCCATCACGGCTCGTTGTTGTGACACTTTTCTACACTCATGACTCGCAGTTTCTAGGTTTATTTATTCAAAACTATTCGTAGGAATGAAGTGTACAAATCTGATTGGTCGATGCATTGATATCTTCTAAAAGTAGTATAGGTGATTTCCAGATAGGTGTCGCTCTCAATCACGGAATTTTCCATGTCTAAGTTTACCGAAACGGCATGGCGTCGAGAGGCGCTTACATTGAGATAACGTAGCGGCGTCGAGAAGCGCTAACATTGAGATAATGTAGAGGCGTCGGGAAGCGCTTACATGTGGCAAGGGGTAAAGGCGTCCAGAGGCGCTTGCATGTGGCAAAGGGGTAATATACCCTATATAATAGTGTACTTACTTCAGAGTTAATATACCCTATATATTAGTGTACTTACTTCAGAGTTAATATACCCTATATAATAGCGTACTGACTTCAGAGTTAATATACCCAATATAATAGCGTACTTACTTCAGAGTTATATTAATATACCCTAATTAATAGTGTACTTACTGCTGCATAGGTGACACAGCTTGTTGCACTCTCAATGTCCTGTAAAACAGCAAACAGTTGAAACACTCACATATACATATTATATTACAAGTTAATATTAGCAGCTAGCTACAGGAGCTAGTTTAAAATTAAAAACATTTCATTAAATAGATAATTATATTAAAACACAAGAGGCTCTAATTGTGGTCAGACAAAAGTTTAGTAAAATTCCAGATCTGACATGTTCTATATATCAATCATGCAATGCACATGTTATTGAATCAATTTTATCATGACTAATAGAATCTTTGACCCCCCCTTTGGTATAAGATAAATATAGGGTACAAGTCTGTGTGCATGTTGACAACCTTAAAATCATTCCCCTATCTCACTTCAAGGGGATGGATGATCATTTTTCTTTTACCCTGATCATGATGACCCTGTCACGTTCATATTATTATACAACCTTGATGCTACAATGCATTGTTGATGTGACATCACACAATTGTTTTGACCGGGGAATTCCCCGTCTCAACCCTATTGTGAGACAATTTGTTTGTTTGTGTTTAACGGCCCATCGACAACTGTGGTCATTTAGGGCCATTGCGATTTATTTAAAAAAAACAAAATGTGAATTGACAAAGATTAAATTAAATAAAAATGAATATTTGTTCAAGCATATGCATTCACATGGTATGTGTAAATAATTAAAATATGAATGGGTTTAAATAATAAAAGTTAAATAGATAATGAATAGATCATAATTTTATATGGAATATGGAATACGTGATAAATAGATTTCATATCCGGGGCTCACAAATTTGTCTTCACATTTTAAAAGGTACGAATGAATAGGATAAATATGCCCAGTACTGAGACGAGAGGGGACAACTTCCTCTCTACGATCTTTCTCTCAACCTTGACAGATGTATCCACATTTTTCCCAGTGTGAAATTAATATAATATTTCCCAATTTTGGGGTAAGACTGAAAAATCTCAACTAAGGGGTCAGCTAATTAAATGTCTAGCCTGAGGCTTTGCCAAGGGCAAGACATTTAAGAATCTTACCCCGATCGCGGGTTAAGAGTTTTCTGTCTTATCCTGGAGATTGATTATTTTTCTCTCACATCAAAAACAAGTGGTAATTTCACAAAATGCAAAGGTTTATTTCCCAATTTCCAGCAGATCAGAATCATCTGCTTTGTTGATGTGACGTCATTGTATTGTTGATGCGACGCCAATGTATTGTTGATGTGACGCCAATGTATTGTTGATGTGACGTCATGCAATTCCTATGAAAGAGGAATCTTCCTGTCTTCACCATTGGGCAAGACAGAGATATCTTTTCCTGACGTGAGGGATCTAACTGTGGCGGGAAAACCTGAGTACCCAGAGAAAACCAAAGTGGTCGGGCAAGTGACCCTATACCTTTTCATGTCGGATCGGGAAATCAAACCCTGGCCACCTTTGTGAAGTCAAGTGCGCTATCCACTGTGCCACTCGACCACCCTAATGATCTGTTATGATCACTACAACAACCCTGCATTAATTAGGAGATCATTTGAGCACATGTACATGATGTAGAGTTTGTGCAAGTTTGGACTACTTGAATGAGTGAGTTACGAGAGATATTGGTAAATTTGATCAAAATGATGGAGTCTCAAGCTCCCTCCTAATGAGGGAGGGTTGACAGCTATATATGCAGGCTGAGCTGTCATTCATAACATTTGCATGATATCACGTCAACAATAAAATGACATTACATAAACAATGCATTTTCGTCAAGCCAACAATACGTTGAGCATGTATACGTAACATCAATATTGTATTATGTATGACAGGATCAACAGGATAAAAGAACAAGAATCAAGGCAAGCCTTATTTTTTGCAACTTGAGAATATCCTTCTCCACGGTTGTGATTGCCAAAGGAGTGAAAGATTCTATTGATCTCACTGACAAAAGTGTGGATACATCTGTCCTGGGTAAGAAAATCTAATGTCCACAAATTAAACTGTTGCTAAAACTTTTATGCTGAAGACATCAAACACTGTTTAATTTTGCATAAGAAGAGATAAATATTTTATGCATGTTTTATGTAATATCCAACTGAAAGTGATACGCAGAAATGGGTGTGCATAGTGTTGACAACACACGAGTGTAAAGTGAAACTACAAAAATGTCCCTGTCAGAAGGCTAGCGATACCAATTCACAATGATTTTGAGAATTTGCAACATTTTAAAACTGCATTCACAAGGCATAAGTATTGAGTTATCTTTGTTTATGCATTTCAATGTATTGTGTTATCAAACTTTTATCAAAATAAAGAGCCGTAGATCGACGTATTTCTATGCACAAAAAAACGATGGATACCCGGTTACGGATCGGATAAACACACACGGTTATCCGAGAGGCATTTTTTCTAACCGCTGCAGCCCTATTAGATATAGAACCTAATTTTTATGTAATTAATGAATATGACAGATGTAAAGTGTAAATATATACATTCATATATATATATCTTACTGCAGCTAAAGGTAAATAATTATGGTAAGGGAGATGGGCATCTATTGGTTGATTGTACATGTGTTATGATGGATAGGTAAGTTTTTCATATTGCCTGGCTTTTATGAGAAATAAACAATATTAGAACAAACCCTGGAGTTGTATCTTATTAGTGAAGGAAACAAAACTATAATGCAGGCACACATCGAAGCAGAGACCTCAGAAATGTTGCTGTTACCTCTTGAGATTCTCAGGACAAATTCTCTCCTAGAGAGGGAGTATGTTAGCCTGGTAAAATACTAGCCATTTTCTACCGACTCAGCTTAGGAGAATTTTTCTTTACATCGTAGTATATTTAAATTTACTCACATCAAACTCAATCAAAGCTTGTCTCTTCTTAGGCATCATGATCACATAGCTGTAAAAAAATCCACAATACAAACACTATCTGCAAAATTTATTTAAACTATATATATAGAGATTACACAACGAGTGGTTGTTGAATATGGTATTTATTTCACTCAAGTTAGTAAATTTTCAAAAGTTACAAAAGACAGGAGCTTTAGCGAGTGTTTTTCTGTAACTTTTGAAAATTAACCAACGAGAGTGAAATAAATACCATACTCAACAACCACGAGTCGTGTGATCTGTTTCTACCACAATCTCATGATCAGTCGGAAATAATATACACACATGTGTTTGTTGACAAGGCTGGCGTAGTGATATGACCCATATGTAAAAAGTCACTCATTAATATTCAAAAATGACTTTTTTTACAAATTTAATTGTCAAAATTAATGTTTCGGCAAAAACTTCATGAAAAATAAAATAGATGAACGACTTCAAATATTGAGAGTAGCAGTATTGCATTAATTTATATAAATTAACCACGGACTATATGCGCGCAAGCATATCGTACGAAGTCTGCCTCCCGCCAAGTGATGAACCGTTGTAGACAAACTTATCGCTGTCAATATCCAAAACCATAGGCCTACGTTTCTTGGTGACGGTTCTATGGTTTACGTTTATAGTGAAAGTTCAGCCATAGTCAGACCGTCTACATAGCGATAATGGGACGTTGGGAGAACGAAATATTTACCGACACTGCAGATCTTGTTTTGGTTTCACGACCAGGACACGCGACGTCGAAACGATATGGAGCGTCTATAGCAATTTTGCATGAAACTAACGATCAAATCTTTAAGTATCATCTTTTAGTATTGCCTTAATAACCTCACAAAGTCACCAACATTTGTCGGACGTTGACAGCCGACGACATAAACAAAACAGTCTTCCCGGTCAAAGTTCATCTTCTCGACCAATCAAAACTCTTGAAGGTCATATACCACGTGTGGTATATAACTCATATTTATCTAACAGTCTGCATGTTTATACAATGATCTGAGAGTGGAATAACACAGCGTATTGTGGTAGAAATAATAACATCACAACAACAGTATAGCAAGTTAAGATCCTATATATGTATTAATATGAATATTGTTCATGACCAAGAGCATTTAATTTATGTGCTTATCTCTTACTGAACCTGTAATTAAGGTGTGTCTTACAGATAGATTTATTGCAATTATTGTTACTAAAGATATTGATCATGGGTGGTCACTGTTTCTGTATAAAGTTGCTGTGAAATTAGACTGGATACAATATGCCAATAATGGATCTCACTCGGTCCTCGGTCTATGATCGAAGTTTTCTGATATCTATATAAAATAAATCCATTGTCCGTAACATACTTTTGATAAAGAATTCAAATAAAAGAAACATCAAGCTGGTGCAATATATATGAAGACCTAGTACCTGACTGTGCCAAAGTGCTGAACAGCGTGGATGAGGTCCGTCTCCACAGTGGCTTCTGAAAGGTTCCTTACATGGACTACAGGAGATGGGCTTGGTTTGTGAGGATCCTCCTGCAAGACATATATATATAAATATATTATATAACATAAATAAAGCAAAACATGAAGACTAGTATAATCGGCCAGCGCTTTCGCCCATCTTGGGGCTCTTCAGTCGATTTAAATTTCCTGGATGTCAGTTAATGACATGGGTATATTCAATGAATAACATATATATTCTACATGGCCAGACTGCACCATGAAAGGTACAATGTTGAAGGTTTAGTTTTTATGTCCAAGCAAAAATGAGAAAATGTCAAACCAAATGCTTGTGTATACATTTCAGCTGCAACATACACTGTATATACATGTATGTTATATACATGTAAGTCTGAAGAATATCCTAGAAGAGATGAAAGTACTTAAGACTCGTTGTTGAGAATTTTTCTTTTTATAATATTTCTTCGTCCATAAGGTCATTTTTCTGATTTATAATACATGTATATATATATATATAGGCCGTTTATCAGGTAGATTCAGCTTGACCCTTCCCTCATGATCAGTTGTAGCTGGGTTTTTTCTGCCCTTACATCCATGATGAAAAAATATATACATCCTACTCAATTGAACGTTTACATTCTGATTCGCTCTTGACTTCTTTCATTCAGACGCTTTATACAATACAAGCGACAAACAAGAAGTCCCTGCTCTTGATGCGTAAAATGTCATCTGCTGAAAGACCGAAAGGTCGTAAAAGCGGATGTCAAACCGTCAAAATTAAATGTGCATACATATGGTTCAGACAATTCATAACTTCAAAGGTTCTTTTATACTAGATAATGTGTTGTACTTCCAACGAAAACCAGATCACAGTTGTTTTTTACTCAATTAATTGGTCATAGGTCTCTAACAAGTGATACTCGACAAACTTTATTAATCAGAACATCACTAATAGCTACCATACTTGGCATATAAATAGCATATAAAACAAACAATAAAGGTTGATAAAAAATAACCTTTATTTCTAGGCCAATATCTTCATCAACTCTGATGATTCTTCAGAGCTTAGCTTATATATATGTAAAAGACAAATATAACGTAATATATGCTAATACATGGAAAATTTGGTGACACAAAATTAAAATTTAGAAGCATAAATATTGCAGACATTTTCTTTTGTTTGATCCCTGTAATAATAGGTATGCTGCATATATAAATACACAAGTTACCACTAACAAAGATATATCTCAGCAAAAGTGAAGTATTAAAACTTGATTTCTTTGACCACTTCACCTTAAGTGTAAATGACTTAAAATCATGCATTTGGCTTGTAAATATAAAATTTGGCACAAGAAAAATTGTTTTGTAAAAAAAAAAACATAAGAATTTTTAAAGCTCATGGTAATTGAACCCTGATGGGCTTGTGATCACATTGTTAAATAGCTGTAAGACATAATTTTCATCCAGACCAAAGCTATTGTTCATCTATTGTTCTTGAAACCAGCCATTCAAGTGTCTTAAGCTCAATTACAGTCATCAATAGCAGTATAATTTGTAATCTGAAATTACAACATGTCTTGGCCAGAGTTGGTCCTTGGTCAAGACATGTTGCAATTTCGGATTACAAATCATATTTTCCCTAAAATATTAAGAATCAAAACATGTGGAAATGACGTCTTTGAAAGGCCATCAAGCTCGAGTCAAAGCTATGGGGAATGAAAACATCTCTTAAAGGTCTACTACAAGCCCTGTACATATATGATTGAATGACGTGAAATTCTCATCATGAAGTCAAACAGCTGTAAAAATATGGAGCTGTAATTGACCATAAAATCAATGCTAAAGTATTCATTCCTTAAATGGTTCAATATTATATTATCTGTTTTTCAATGGATAGCATTAGATGGTCTATAAAGAAAACCATCTGTCACATTGATTAGCACTGATATTGCCACACCTTATTGATTCTCCTACATACAGCTGTTGGTGATTATAGACCCTCATTGCTGAACAAATTCAGTGGCCGTATAAATTAAACCAATATGGACAAGTGGCCTTTAAATCCTCACACTGACACAACTTTATATTCTTAAACCTTTATAGCATAAGCACATTTTATCCAGGTTGTACATTTCGACTACTCAACCACAGGTATACTATAGCCTTATATCAGTTAATATATTGTACATCCATATTGTAAGAAGTTACTAACTCTGCCCCCTACGGCCCTAGTAAAATGACCCTGTTCCATATCAATATTGATATATATAGTAGATAATAAATAAATAAGTCCATGCGAAGGCAAATATAGAATAAAAACAAATTTTTCAGTTCTGAAAAATTTATGTTTTTATTTGATATATATATATAGATTGTTGTAAAAAAAACATGAAGCAGTTAATTTTAAACACACTATTTAAAGTATTTGTTTTTTCTACATACTTTCGCGGCTTCATCCCCATGCAAAAATTGAGAAGTTGACAGGTATGATTATTATGTTTTCGAGTTTTCTAACATTTGTTGGTTAGTTACAGAGTTGCTTGATAGCTTGGTTATCTCTATGTTGTACAGGCTGGCAGGCTAGCTTCCCCAACCCTGCTTAGTATATTAGTTTTGGAGAATCCCCAGAGGTAAATGTAACATTTTTAATGAAATAATGTGCACATGTACACTAGTATACTGTTCAAATTCACCACCATTGTTCACTTCTGAAAAGAAATCAAATTTCACAAGAAAATTTTCCGAGTCGGTTGTTTCTGTTTATTTGTCACTTTGATGTAAATTTGAAAACATGACAACACAGAAGTAACAAAAGTTTGTTATATCTAATCTGTGTGTTCAGGTCTTGATATCAAGAGAAAGTTTAAAAAGAATGGGGTTTTTTTTGCATCTAGTTTCTTAAATATCTCTGATGTACTAGAAGAAATTTACAACTCATAAACGCTCAAATGCCACCTCCTTGCCTCTACAAATACAAAAAAAATGGAGACCCCCAGTACCCCCCCTCTGGTGCTCTCCCCCTGGCTCGGGGCTTCGCCCCTCAGCAGAGGGCTATGGCCCAGCTGATATGGTACCACCTGGTATTCAAAAGGTACCTTCTGTTTTAAAAGATAATGAAACCCCTGTATCGACCATATCAGCAATGGTCATAATTTATATTGAATGCCTTAAAAGTGTTATTAAGGAGGCTCCACCCTTTTGCAATTAACCAGCAGTTTCCAATGAAAGTTTCACTTAATGGTAAAGTCACTGTGTAGAGATGATTTTATGAAACTCTAAGCATTCCGATATACTAGGATTTTTTTGGTAAAAAATACTGAAAAATTGATTTTTTGTCAGATTTAACACTTTCACATTTTTTGAGTGTGTGGCGCCCGGCATTGTTCAAAACTATTAAAACAATAAAATACTGAAAAGAAACATTGCTAATCAGGCCTACAAATATTTTATTTATCATAAAATATCTACAACATGTTACAAAAAACGTTTTTTTTATTGAAATTGTATGGATAAAAGTTACTAAATACAAGCTAAAAGCAAACAGGACACATAGTTTCATACAAAAAGAGTGAAAAATTGAACCAAATACACCCAAAGTCTTTGTAATTCACAAAAGTCGTAGGGACCAAGAGCTTGTGAACTACTGTTAGCACATGATACGTACAGGTGAGGTCGGTAAACAAAACACATCAGTCTGCATTTAATGCGCCTCATTTACGACCTTCTTGAAGTAGTCTGATCTTATGTCAGTGTCTTCCTGTGAGTTAATTAATGTCGTTGCATCATAAGCTATATTTCTGAAGTTAGTGTAATTACACCCTTTTTCAAGTTTATCGCATGTGTACTATTGTTTACCCGGTGTACTATAATTTTCACTATGGTATGGGAATGCCCGATACGCAATACGGAAATGGCGACACGAAAATATGACAGGAAAAACATGTGTATTACGAAGGGTGGGAAGTCCTTGACAGCCTTTATATATATATTCTATTAAATTTTGATCACCCAGACCAGGGAAATCTTCGAATTTGTGAGCAGTGGGCCATTTCAGCAATTTTTAGTCAATATCGAAATAAAGAGGGGTCATCCTATGTAAAATTAGAAGAAAATAGGAACATGACGATGGCTGCCATATACAAGGAATTTTGTAGAGATTGAGGGAATGCTTTCCATTAGTCTTCGAGATTCTATATTTTACCACCATCATGCCTTCTTCTACCGCCGTTGTGGAGAGAAGTTTTTCCTTGATGTCCAACATCCTGACATCCAAGAGGAACAGGATGACTCGGCCCACACTGTGCCACTATGGTTATATGCCACCAGAAAAAGGAACTCACCCCAACTGACCTGGACTCTTTGGTGGATATATTTTAAGGGACAAAAACCCCAGGAAAATGGCCATTTAAATATCTATTGAAGCTTAATAAATGTAAAGCAAAGATCTGTACATGTGTTTTATAAGAAGGAACATTTTTTTCCAATTGGGCTGTATTTTCTCAATTGAAAAGGTATGTACAGGCCCTGTAAAAAAAAAGGTAAGAAAATCACTGGTACTAGGCCAATAGGAACAAAAATTACACTGCCCAATTTTTCAGATTAACATCCACAACAGAATATTGGTAGTATGAAAGAAACTTCAGCTTCGTGTAAAAGTTCATTAAAGCTATTCTCTGTCCAGAAGCATCCATTAAAGACAGAAATTGTGGCAGCCATCTTGGACTTCTCCATGTGCCATATATATAGACCTATATGGCATCCCGCCCGGCTAAGTGTCTTGAGGACCGGAACCGGTTCCGCATTTAAGACAACCTCTGTGTTAAATTATTGAGTGCTAACTCATATAATGCTCGATCAGTGCATGCGTAGCCTGTATCATGCAAGGTAAACTAAACAAATCACCGTCACGAGCTCGAGGGGAATATACTACAATGTTCCTCGTTCTTTCCCCCAATCGTCTTACAATTCGTGCATACATGTATATAAAAAAAAAAAGAGAAAACAAGACTGATTTTTTAAAACCTCTCCCTACGAGTTCAAGCTAAATTATCATAACAATCTCCGAAACTTCGAAGCATTGAATGCGAACCGGAAAAACCTGTTTGAATCGTGACCCACGCTGTCTGAAACCGGTTACATGAAAACAATGATTGCATATGTAGAACAGCATCGAGCTGCATAACATGTGAAATATTACAATAACACAAGTATTTTTGCATTTAAAAAAATAAGTGCATACCCTTTCTCCTCTTCCATCTTCAGTTCTTTGTCGTTTAGAAATGTGACCGTCGTATCCCGAAGCCATGTCCATTTTGTCAGAATGAGGCTCAAGCTTTAAAGTGACGCAGAAAGCGCTATAACAATGCAGCTAGGCCTAGCTAGGCCTACCGTAAATAACCTATGTTTTTCGATGGTGCCCTAATGGCGCGCTAACTTACGAAAAACATTAAGACGTGCTAAAATTTTCAGCAGTTTAAGTAAAAGACTGAATTGCTTCACCGAAGTTTTGAATCACCAAAAAATGAAATATGACATGTAAATTAACATGTCAGCGGATGATCCGCAATAGAGCGTTAGCATTTCCAGTATAGGCTAGCGTAGCTGCCTAGCTCCGGCTCGAGTAGGCACATGCGCGTAAAACGCACATTTTTTGTTTAGTGATTTTTTTAATTAAAGAAATTCAAAAATAACCAGATTTCGCTCAATGAAAGGCAATTTATTTTTTCTCAGACTTTTCAGTTCAACTGCTACTGCATTTCGTAATACTGAGTCTTCAAGTGTCCTAATATTGATTGGAGGACTTAGGTCCTGACCTCCTTGTTCTGGTTATAACCTAGCCTAGGACAAAAAAAAGGAGGGGGAGGGTTAACGTTGAGATGCAATTCCGCTTTTTGAGTATTGCAAAACAGTTTTTACGTGAAGGGTAGGGTACAATCGGTCTATTTGGAATATCACTTGACAAGTTCAGATGCGAAAAAGAAATAGTTAAAAAATATTAGAAAACTATATATATAGCTAGGGACTAATGAGGCTCTTAAGAAAATTGGAATTAACAATGATCGGGGTCCGCCTTGGGCGAGAGAGATTGTGAAAATAGCAGCAAAAGTCGAAAACATGCAGATCGATGACTCGTTGCCAAACAGGTTAACAAAAATAGAGAAAATGTTTTGTTCTACACAAATATAGACCAACATCAAAAAAAATGAATGCTACGGAGTGGCTATTGACACTCGGGCTAGATGCCGGTGGCGGATTCCGAAAAGTTTCATGTGGCGATAGTAATTGTGCGCAGACGGATGTGCATATCTGGATAGGACTAAGAACTATTAATGTAAGCTTTGTTTAACAATACAAGTGGCACAATGGGCCTGCATCGCTCACTTGGTATTAATCTCACACTTGTAATCTTAAAAGTGGACTAAAATACATATGCTGGCAGAATATCAGTGTTTGATTCATAAGAACCTAAAAAAAAAATTTAAACATATGACGTCTGTGACATTGGATGTCGAACAAGGACATTAGGTTGAACAGAGTGTATAGTCTTCCAACCCACAGGCTTCTGACAAAATATCATTACCCTGGAATTTTGGTTATACAGAACAAATCATTTAAAGATTTGAACATATATTGACCACTGTAACCTTGAATATGCGTGAAGGTCATTCACTTGGTAGTCTTTCATCCCAGCATGTTAATGGCTAACTATTATCAGCATTTAGACTAATCAAACTACGCTTTAACCTATAATTAACTGCAACAAAGACAAAACCACTTGAATCACAAATTATATACATCTATTAACCCTCCACAAAAAATCGGACGACGAAAAAAATCGGGAAGTTGTTTATTTCGCTGATTTAATATTGCAATTTTGATCGTAAATTGTATGGCATGTACGGGCCGCCGTAGACTGAAGAGTTACTAAAGGGAGATAATGCCGATATGCAGACGATAATGCCGATATGCAGACGAATTTTCTCGCTGGGATAATTTTAATATTGGTGAGTATATGTAACTGTTGTTATGACTTGTAATACATGTTTGACACATACAGATTATATGTTGATGTTTTCAACATGAATCAACATAAATTGAT